AGACCTTTGAAATTAGCCCAAAAAAAAATCATATTTGTCGCTTTTGGGAGTATCGGAATCAGAATCAATGTCTTTTAGTTCAAAATTTTTGTTACATTTCTTTTAAATTTAAATTCAAGCTGTCGATTCAGTACTCTCAAAAATAACAATTAAGTATTTATTCTCGTGCCCTACAATTTTTACATTAGTTGTAATTAAAAATATTACTTGCTACAACAGATTTTGTAGTTCATTGATCACAGTGGACAGAATTCAGTTCTTATATATATATATATAGAATTCAGTTCTTCTATATATATATATATATACATATATATTCATTGTTACTGTCCATAACTATCAACAACTCTTTGCCAGAGAAAACCATGACTTGAGATCTGATTTGGAAAACAGTAATAAGATTTAGTATTCAATCCATTGTCCTCGACAGATCAATTATCTTTCGTTAGATCTCTGGGTACTAATTCAATACTTCCAAATACAATGTTTTTAAGTTTCGAAAAACTCTTCATTTAATATACAACCTATGATGGTTAAATATTACAACATTTCTTAAATTTATTTTACCCCTTTATTTTCCACTCAATACAGGAAAAACATTTCTGTTTCTCAGCTATACTACTTCTTTAAGACCTATTTTATTTTTGCAATTTCTTCCTTCCAATTCTTCAGTTAAATGGTCAGCTCTAACATGGAAGGCGATTGCTTGTGTGTGTGTGTGTGTGTGTGTGTGTGTGTGTGTTATGTGCACATGTGAACGCATTAAGGTGGAACAGACTGCCTACTCAGATGGATTCCTGAACCCTTTTTGGCTCTTTGCTTCTTTGGTTACTTGTAACATATCTATTATTATTATTTATTAGTTTGGGGTCTACAAGTTGTAGAAATGTCCGAACATTGTGAAGATGCAGACCCACCCATTTAATAATTTAGTACCCCTATCATGGCTGAGGTTGATAGTGGAAGAAACCACACCCATATTATATATATATATATATATATATAATATGAATCATGAACAGGTATGCTTATGGATCTAATCTCTACCTAAACATCAATTGTTTGTCTTTTGAGTTTTCTCTTTGAATTATTTAGCCAATAATTATCACATGTATTCATGCACACACGTGGAGTGTGCATAAGAATAATATATTTTGGAGATATGGTTTAGGATGCTATTCCTTTTCGTTTTCATCGTCATTGGAGCCTCACACATGGCTTAGGTTTAAAAATATATATATTATATTTATTTGTTCTTTTTATTTACATTATTTGACAAGGGCCAAAAGACAGAAAGGAGGGGAAGAAAAGGAAAAGGAAAAGGAAAAGGAGGGGAACATCGGGAAGGGATAATATACTTTTGGCATTAGTTTTGTTCGATAGGAGGAAAAAATATATATATATATAATATAATTGAGGGAAGAAGAGATGAATGATACATTTTATTATTTTTTCTTTTTCTTTTTTGGGTTTGATTTGCAATTTACTTTATTTGTTATAAGAAAATAAAAATTATATTTAAATTATTATTACCATCTATAAGTTCTATTGTTTGTGAAGAATCGATCTTTTAGGTCCCGACTTCACCTCGACGATTATGCCACGATATCTTTAACGATAGTAGCGTAATTTTAAAACTTTTATAATAACTTACTTATTTTTCGTCAACTCCATTTATATATGGAGTGATGAAAAATTTATAAATGAGAAAAGATGGTTAAATATATATATTTTTTTTATTGGAAAGAAAAATATAATTTTCATGTACATATTTATTTATAGGGTAAATTATACTCACCTCCCTTAAAATTTGGACAAATCTCATTCGAGTGGAGTGTTTGAGGTTTATTATTACTCTTTTATCCTTCAAAGTTTTGTGTGTTTGTTCAATTACCTCCTTGGTTTTAAACAAAATTCATTAAATGGCCAAACTAACCCTTTTTTCTTGTTCAAAAAGACATTACTAGCCTTACCGTGTGGTGAAATTACAGAATTAGCCTTGTGCTATAGACCAATATAACCCCTAAGTTTAAGTCTCACTCAATACAAAACTCTCAATTATCATTTTCTCTTTCTAAAATCTTAATCCTTCTTTCTCACTTCTTTTTATCAAAATTTTAAAACACTTCTTTATCATTTCAAAAGGCCTACCACATTATATATGTGTATGATTGCATTTATAAATATACGTATATATGTGTTAGTATCCTCACCTTCAGCTCTCCACCACCCTATATTCTGTTACCTAGTTTGTCCATGGCTGCCCAAGGTGGATCATGCAATTATGATTCAATGATATCTAAGAGACGCACATGAATTGGTCATGTTCTCTCTCTACTACATAAAGAGAAAACCAGAACACCCACCAAAAAAAAAAAAAAAAAGTTCAAACCCAAAACATAAGAAATACCAAAAAATCATATTTTTTTACCTCTCTAAAACATCTTTTATATCTCTCTGTGTCTAAAATCCCCACCAACTCCACCCTTCATTGCCAGCAAGCCACATCACAACAATCCCTAAATGCCAATTTCCACATCACAGCAATCCAATTTCCCTCATTACGGATTCTAATTTTGAGATCCAATTGGACGATATATAAAAAACATATACATGTATATAATAGGTGGTCGGAAGGGTAGAGTTCAAACGCTATGCCCGAAACCATAGACCCACAACGGCGACAGTGCTGGTGGCCGATGGAGGTGCCGACGGTGGTGGGAGGAGTGGCCGCTCCGGTGGGAGGAGGTAGAGAGGAATGAGAAGCGAGAGACAAAAAAAAAAAAAAAAGAAAAAGAAAAAGAAAAAAAAGGGAGAAGATAAAATTAAATAATTACAGAAAAATATGGGGGTAATATAGTCTTTTGATTTCACACATTTTTTTAATTAAAATTTTATTAAATCAGATAAAGGCACAAAAGACATTTTATAAAATTAAAAGAAGTAAAAGTAATAAATCTTAAACACTCCACGTAAATGAGATTTGTTCAAATTATAAGGAATGCTAATATAATTTATCTTTTTTCAAGCAAATTACACTCACATTCTTATGTAATTAATGTTGTGAGTTACTTCTTAAAAAAAGGTCAAGTTCAAACCTCAATAAAATATGTGGATATAATTACTAATTAAAAAATTAAAATTAAAATTACAATATATATATATCACCTACAAGGATTTACTATACAAAACAATGTGAATGGTTATGGTTTCATTTTAGTAGATAGTCTAGTATCATGATTAAGGATTCACCAATACACCTTTCTAATTAATTAGATTGTTGGTAAAGCCACTCCATGTTCCCTCCCACCTTCGAGTGATATCCAAAAGTCAAGATCTGAGGTAATGAATGTCCCGTTGTCTCTTTCAACACTGATTGCCACAAAACGTAGAAGCACTCTTTCTAGTCATCATCATCTGCATTCAATTATTTACTACTTTGGGCTTTACCATCAATTTGAACTTTTGTGATGGAACAAAGAAAGCAGAGTGAACAAAACCACCATTGTCTTACTTAAGAGCGGATTCAATAACTGTTAATGGGATGAATTAATATTTTTTTTGGGTGGATTAATATTAATAATTTTTTTTATTTTTTATTTTTTTTTTTTGGGAACTGTGCTAAAATTAGGTATAGTAAAAAAAAAAAATTTGGGCTTAGCACACCCAAGTCCCCCTTAGATCCGCTAGTTAATTGATATTTGTGAATTATTGTAAAACGCAAAGATTCAATAATCATATTTTGCAGCTGTCTTCAAAATATTAACCTAAAAAAGAAAAGAAAATTACTCTTAGAAAGATTACTTGAGTTTTACACCAACCTTAATGGATAAATTTATTTTGACCTCTTTTAAATTTTTGTGAGTGTGTTCAACAAAACTCTTGATATTTTCTTTCCGGTAGAACTATTGACTATATTTTATATGATAATTTTGTTCTACCTTGTAAGAAAAGCCAATCCGACAAGTTACATTGACATCTTCTTTCTAAGATTTGAACAAATTATATATGATTATATGAATTTTTTTATTAACAAATATTTACAATATAATATATTATAATAATATAAAAACATTATTAACTTATAACATTGAAAGTCATCTCTGGGTCAGACCAACAAATTTAAGAAAGGTTCTACTCGTCTATTATTTGTCCAAACTTTAATTAATATAATTTATAGTTTTACAATCTGCGATGTTGTGACACTGTGATATGAAAATTATCAGTATAAATAGAATGTAGTAAAGTCAGACCTCTTCAAATTCACTTTTCTTTTTCTTTTTTTTTTTCTTCAAAACTAACAAGACGAGTACTAACATTTTTTTTTTTTTAATTGTAGTGAGAGAAACTTATGGTGATCATGGATTCGTTTCTACTAAAAGACGAGGTCCGAAACTTGTTGAATTGGAGCCAATAGTAAGTACTAAGTAGGCATTTGTGCTTTCTTTGAACCAGAGACACGGTACCTCATGCCAAAATTCGCCTCAAATTTAGCATTGCCCACCATACTTTTCAGTTGTAAAAAAATTTGTAAACGAATCTATTAATATATTAATAATTCAATGAATAATATGTTTTGCTGTATATATATTTTGTAAATAAAAACTCTAACAACATAAAAGAAATATAAATAAAAAAAAAACGTAACAAGGAAACTAATAAAAACAAATTTATTCTGAAAATTATGTAACAATAAAAAAAGAAATGTAATTACTAAAAATTACTAAATACCAAAAATAAAAAAAATGCATTTCAAATTTCTTTAATTTTCTAAGGAAAGTCACAAAATATCTAAAATTGAGAATGCGTAATTTTCTAAAGAAAGTCACAAAATATTTAAAATTGAGAATGCGTAATTTTCGAACCATTCGATCAAAAGGTGGGCACCTTAAGAGTTGGGCCTTTTTAATAAAACTAGACTGTTTTGGGTGAAATCAGTCGGACAAAAACTGATCAGCCCCACATGTTTGACCTTTTTAAGATACAAACGGGTTCCAAAATTTACAGCCATATGTTCTGCATCAATACTTACAAAAGAAAGAAAACCAGAGCAGAGTCTTTAGACTTTAGCCAGAAACTCTCTCTCTCTGTAATGGTGGTGTTAGCGAGTCGGAGCTAATCAATCAACCGTTTGATTTACAATCCTGTTCGATTCATGTCTTTTTCAACTGATAATGGAGATCAATCGAAAAAACCCGTTTCCAAATCAAGGTTTGAAAATCTCATCCGTCAATACACACTACCTTTAATTGATACCATGCGTGGTCTCAATCTCAGAGACCGTTGTAAGACCACCCAAGTCCACGCTTTAAGCCCCCCAGATACCTCCGCCGCTGGTAGTACCACCGCCAGTGGTTGCGCCGGCAAGCTCAACCACCACCACCACCGGCAAGGCAACCTGACTATCAATTCCATTTTATCGAATTCTAATGACACCAATTCAGTGTCAATGGCCGAACCTCTTCTTCCTTATGGACTCCCCACAACTGACCTTCTTGAGCCACCCATAGATCCTCACCTCAAATCCGTTGATTTTGTGGAAAATCTAGCTGACCTCTATCGCCGTCTTGTGGGTTGTCCTGTGTCCAGTAAATCATCGATGTGCCTTGAGCAGTACTCGCTCTTGTGCAGCCTTGGTGATCCAAAGCTGCTACGGCGGTGCCTCCAGGCGGCGCGTCAACACGCCATTGATGTGCACTCCAAGGTTGTGCTCTCGGCGTGGTTGCGATACGAGAGGAGAGAAGATGAGCTTGTGGGTATATCGTCCTTGGACTGTGGTGGTCAAATGCTTGAATGTCCTAGAGCTGCTTTGTCATATGGGTATGATCCCAATTCAATCTTTGATTGTTGTCGATGTGGTGAAGACCATCACAATTTAGCCAGCATTGATGTGTCAATTGGGGATGATTGTTTGATTTCAGAAGAGGACGACAGTAAGGTTTGTTTCTGCATTGGCAATGAGGATATTTATTGCATTAGATACAACATTTCAATTCTTTCAAGCCCTTTGAAGGCAATGCTATATGGTAATTTTATGGAGTCAAAAAGGAACAAGATCAGTTTTTCACAAATTGGGATATCAGCAAAAGGAATGAGGGCTGTAGAGGTTTTTAGTAGGACAGGAAGAATATTAGACTCTTCCCCACCCAATATGGTATTGGAGCTCCTCTCTTTTGCAAATAGGTTTTGTTGTGAGGAGATGAAGAATGCCTGTGACAGTCATTTATCATCACTGGTTTGTGGTATAGAAGATGCATTAACTCTTATTGATTATGGTTTGGAGGAGACGGCGAATCTTCTCGTAGCCTCTTGCTTACAGGTGTTGCTAAGAGAGCTTCCGCGTTCTTTACATAATCCCAAGTTCATAAAACTATTTTGTAGCTCTGAGGCTAGGGAGAGATTGTCCATGGTAGGACATGCCTCTTTCTTATTGTATTATTTCCTAAGCCAGGTGGCTTTGGAAGAGAGTGTGACATTGACATCAAACACAACACTAATGTTGTTGGAGAGATTGAAGGAATGTGCAACTGAGAGGTGGCAGAAGGCACTGGCATCGCATCAGTTGGGTTGTGTGTTGCTTGACAGGAAGGAGTATAAGGATGCCCAGTGTTGCTTCGAGGCAGCAGTCGAGGCCGGTCATGTTTATTCAATGGCAGGTGTTGCAAGAGCTAAGTGCAAGCAAGAGCAGAGGTTTTCAGCTTACAAGCTGATTAACTCTCTCATTTCTGAGTACAAACCAGTTGGGTGGATGTACCAGGAGAGGTCTTTGTATAATATGGGGAGGAGGAGGATTTCGGATTTGGACACCGCTACTAAATTGGATCCCACCCTTTCTTTCCCATATGAATACAGAGCTGTTGCAATGGTTGAGGAGAACCAGATTGGAGCAGCTATCTCCGAAATTAACAAAATTATTAGGTTCAAGGTCTCTCCAAACTGCCTTGATCTGCGGGCTTGGCTCTTCATTGCACTTCAGGATTATGAAGCTGCTTTAGGAGATATTGGAGCATTGCTAACTTTGCAGCCCAATTACATGGTGTTTTATGGGAAAATGAGAGGGGATCACTTGATTGAGCTTCTCAGTGAACGTGTTAAGCAGTGGAATCTTGCTGAGTGCTGGTTACAACTCTATGATCGATGGTCTTCTGTTGATGATATTGGCTCTCTGGCTGTTATACATCAGATGCTGGTAAATGACCCTGGAAATAGCCTTCTACGGTTTCGACAATCTCTACTTCTTTTAAGGTAAAGTTCATGGCAGATCTTCCTGTGAACTGTATCTTTTCGCCACAATTTTCATGTAGTGCACTCCTTGTCATTACAAACTTTAAATGAGCTAATCCAGCCATTCATTTCAAAAGCTATTGATGTTTTTAGAATCAAGATATAAAGACTTTCTTCTATAGGTTTTCAGTAGTAGAAATTATACTCTTCCTGTGTCTGGTATGATTGGAATAGCATCTCTGAACAGCTTAATTACTTGAAGGACATTAAAATTCTTGTCCCCTTTGTTTTAGAATTGAACTTTGGCCAACACTATAACTAGGATGGACTCGTGTCTTCTATGTAATGCTTCAACTTATAGTTATCTGATTCTATGATTCTGGACTTTAAAGCAACCCTTGTCCTGTGACTTGCAGTTTCATATCACTCCGTAATCCGTATTGCTAAATTGTGAATATATTTTTTCTCTACTTGAGATCTCAGGAACTTTAAAGAACTGTGTTTTGACCATGTAGAAATAGTTCTTGTATCTCAAAAGCATAATAAGGCCCTAATATGGTTTAACATTGTAGGCTAAACTGTCAAAAGGCTGCAATGCGCAGTTTGCGTTTTGCTCGAAATCATTCTAGCTCTGAACATGAAAGGTTTGTGTATGAAGGATGGATTTTGTATGATACCGGCCATCGTGAAGAAGCACTCTCTAAGGCTGAGAAGTCCATTTCGATTCAGAGGTCATTTGAAGCCTTGTTCCTTAAAGCTTACATACTGGCAGATACAACTCTAAATCCTGAATCTTCGTCTCATGTTGTCCAACTTTTGGAGGAAGCTCTCAGATGTCCTTCAGATAGTCTTCGGAAAGGACAAGTTAGTATAATTTATTGGGGAGTCCTTATTTGGTAGTCATATGAGCCATTTATTTATTTATTTTGTTAATTATGTATTGTGATATTCTACAGGCGTTGAATAACCTTGGGAGTATTTATGTAAATTGTGGTGAGCTAGCTCTTGCTGCAGACTGTTACTTGAAGGCCCTTGACATCAAGCACACAAGAGCTCATCAAGGTTTGGCCCGTGTATATCATCTTAAAAATCAGAGGAAAACTGCTTATGATGAAATGACAAAACTGATAGAGAAGGCACAAAACAATGCATCAGCTTATGAGAAACGATCAGAGTACTGTGACCGTGATATGGCCAATGATGATCTCAGTATGGCAACACAATTGGATCCTCTAAGAACTTATCCATACAGATATAGGGCAGCAGGTATTTTCTTATGCCCCCTTCAGCTTTAGTCTCTTTTTGTCAATTTAAGTCCATAGAAAGTAACAATCAATTTCGAGTCTTGTATTTCTCTTATTCCTTAATAAATGCATTATACTACTTCATTTGAAGCTAATTTTAGTCTTGTGACAAATTTCTGCACTAATTGTCTTCTATGAGTTTATAAGACGTTAACATTGAGTTTCAAGTTGAAGTATCGTTTTTTTCCCCTGGTCATTTAGCCTCATAATTATTAGGTATAGTGATCAATCAAGAGAATTCATACTTTGTTGGGGCTGGAGGGATCATCAAAATTCTTGTTCATCATTTAGCTTTAGGCAATCACTAATCTCTATTCCCTTAATGTTAAGACAGATTCGGAAGGATCATCAATGAGATAGGATGCTACTGATTGTTAAGGCAATCAGCAGTATCCAAACTCTTGTGACTCTACTATACTGCCAAAAGGCAATGCCTTGCTTTGGCTTTAAGTGGACTTTCTACTGTTAGTGCTCTCCAAAATCTTTTGTGTTCCCAGTACAGACCTCTTAATGGTATATAAATCCTATCAGTAAATAAGTAGGCGTTATGCTTTTCGTTTTGCATTGGATCAGTATTCCTCTGATGCTCGTAAAACTAGTACAAATTTCCATTTTCTTTCTCGGTTTTTTAAAATTCGTGTTCTTGTATGCCTTATTACTTAAAATGAAAGAAAGTTCTCAAGCTTAGTAACTACTGGAATTTTTGCTTCTGCCTCATGTCGTGGCTAAAGTTGTATCTCTTTCTAGTTGGCAATTATCTTCACCTTGTCTTTAAAGTGACCGTGTCTTTTGAAGAACTTGATCGAACAGAGGAAACTAAATTGGGAATTTATCATTGCTCATGGATCACTTGTTTACTGCAGATAAGCAAGTGAAAATAATAAGACTATATTGTATCCGTATGTTGTAAGACAGATCAGCCTCAAATGCTTTTGTTCCACTATAGAATAGGATCTTCTTCTGATATCATATATTTCAGGTTAGAATATGACTACACTAAAAGATTAATCTAAGTAAGAAACAGGAAAAAAGGAAAACGATAAATAGAAAAAATAAAATAAGAAGCTTTGGCAGAGATTGTGCTAACTTATAAATGCAGAAAGGAGAATGGGGAAGGACCTCTATTATATGTGCTTCCAGGTGTTACACTTCCTTTTGCAATTTCTGCAGATCAAATTGTTGTTCTTTTTTTTTTTTTTTTTCGAGTTCCTTGAGCTTGGAGGGATAACTTCGGGCCGGCATCAACAATATGGTTTCTGTTTTCTTATCGAAGATCTATCTTATACTTCGTACTAACATATGAAAACACATTCTACCAGTGCTGATGGATGACCAAAGAGAAACTGAAGCGGTAGAAGAGCTTACAAAAGCCATAGCTTTCAAGCCCGAGTTGCTAATTCTCCATCTTCGAGCAGCATTCCATGAATCAATGGGTGACTTTGTTTCTGCTATCCAAGATTGTGAGGCATCACTCTGCTTGGATCCCAACCACAAGGACTCCCTCGATCTATATAATCGAACACGAGGCCAAGCTATCCATTTGCATACGTGAGTCAGTATACTTAAACCAAATGAAGTTATAGTTTGGGCAATGCTGTTTTCAGTCTTGGAGGAAAGAAAAAATTGCACGAAGTTTTTTTTTTTCTCACTTTTCTTCAAGAAACACCCCGAAGAGCATCCAGAGGGAAATTGATCGTTGCCTTGAGAATGAAGGAAAATGTCAAAAGCAAACGTCGGAGTTGTATGTATATATGTTATTATGGAGCTGATGATGATCGCAATAATGATGATGGCAAAACAGATTGTGTAAGCAGCCATCAGACAACACTCCACGGCAAAACAAAGTCAAAAGAGATGTTCATAAGGTGAAATGTTCACCGGTTAAAAAGTTTATCGTGCTGTAAGTTCTATATCATTGTTTCCTGAGCATGGCATAAGCTCCATACATTTTGCCTTGTCAGGAGTATTTGTTCCACCAAATTCTCATGTAACACGGAAAATTTCGCAAAGAAAATAAAAATCCTCTCCTTTGTTACAGTGTTCTTTTATCCTTTTTTTGTTTTGTTCCTGGTGTTGGGGCTGCAATGTTGAGTAATGGTGACTTGTACATTTGGTGGATAATGAAGACTAGAATTTCCCCCTCCTTGGAGGAGAGGCCTACTCCTGCAACCAAACATGCCATCGGACCATGAATTTATTTTGTGTATGGGTTTCAGCTGATGAGTTAAGACCCAATGCTGACCTTAATGTCTCCTTCTTGAAGGCTTTGCTGAGATGGGCTATTGATATGGTTTTATACCACATCCTTTTACTAGGTTTCAGTTGAACAAGGGTCTCAAGCCAAGTCAAAAGAGAAAAGCATAGGGCTTTAGAAGATAAAGCAGTCATTATTGACTCGAAGACAAGTGTATTCTCATCTCATGTGCCGTATTTCAAATCCATGGTACAATAAAAACAAAGTGCTATGTTTCAATAAGAGAACCAACAAAATGAATATAACAAGGAAAAATATTATAGAAAAAAATATATATGTATATTAAAAATCTGAATATGTATTGATTTCACAAGTGCGTTCTCATATGCCAAATCTCTAGTCCATGGCACAACACAACAAAATAAAAATATGTATATATCCAGCAGGCCTTCCTTTTCAGTTATATACAAAAAATAATAATAATAAAAAAAAAACAAAAAAAATAAAAATAAAAAATAAAAAATTCCAAAACCCTGTAGATAAAAGCAGCTTCAAACCCAAATATATATATATATATATATATATATATAAGCATCTATGCTCTCCACGCTACTGGGTTTAACCCAACAGAATCAGATTAAAAATAATAAATCTAAAAAAAAAAAAAAAAAAAGAAAAGAATTGTAATAATACACGAGGAAAAGAGGTTAAGGGAAAGAACAAAATGTGACCATTTATTTTGCATAGGGTATCTCTTTAGTATGCTTCTGTTGACAAAATCTCAAGTTCAGCCCACCAGAGAGGAGATAATTTTGGCGTTGCTCCATCAGGACCCATTGAAGTAATCTCTTTCAGCCTAGCTGTGACCTCTCTCATTGTTGGTCTGTGTATCGGGTCAGGATTGACACAATCTTTTACCACTTCAAACAATTTATCAAACTCTTCCTCTGGGAAAGATTTTAACGTTGGGTCTACCATTTCTCTTGAGGGTTGTTCCACCCTCAAGTACTCTGATGCCCAGTCCACGAGAGAGCCATTATCCACAGAGTATGGAAATCTACCCGTTATCATTTCAAACAAAATTACCCCGAAGCTGTACACGTTGCTTTCTGGATCTGCTGATTGGGTCTCCAGGAGCTCCATGGTAGCTGATCCCATCTTTGCTGCAGTTACCTCGTTCCAGAAACTAAATTCTGATATTTTGGCTGCATAGTCTTCAGTCAGATGTATAGAGGATGATTGCAGATTTCTGTGGGCTATGGGTGGGGTGAGCTGGTGCAGATACTCAAGACAGTATGCCATGCCCATAGAAATTCTAAGCCGCATCGCCCAATCCAAGTGCTCTGCTTCTTTTACTGCAGGAATCATAGGCAATTAATTATACATCAAATACTAATGCAGGTGTAAGTTATATTTCAACATCGATCACATTATAGAAACCCAAAACTACAAAACCAAATTTCAAAAACATGTCATGGCATCTAAAATCTAATGCAGGTGTGATTCAGTACTAGTGAATTCCCTACCATTGTCACAATAATGGTGAGTCCATTGATAGATTTAAAAAATCAATTTATGCAAAAAGAAGTTTTAAAAGGATAGAACAAAGACGATCGAGGATGCAAATTCCATATAAGATATAGAGTGTCAAATTGGAGGGAACATAACATTGTCGATGAAATCAAACAAGTTGAACCTCAAATATTGCTACATAATATTTAAGACCCAACTATAAGTCAAGTTGAGAAAGTATACAATACCCCAGGGGGTACTTACACGCGTCCAATGGACAGTCATGGAAACTCTCAATTTGCCTTAATACATGAGAAATGAGGAGTTTTCAAGAAAAAGTATGACTGTGCATTGGGTAGGGATACCAAGTGTAAAATACCCATGGGGTATTGTATACTTTCTCAAGTTTCAGATTTTTAATGATGGTGTTGTCTTAATTATATTAGAATTAATATCAAATCAATGTAACAAGAGAATGGAACTCAGTGTCGACGATGTGAAAATACATTGTGGAAACCATTATATAGCAGCTCCCTCGCATATCCACCAGTGTCGGTGAATGTATGGAAGATAGAATCAAGATTCTTCCCAAGAAATTTCTTTTTCTCATTTAAGCTTAATTATGTGCAGCTGTTTATAAAATTCTATTAAGTAAATAAAGATCAGGGAACTCACTGTGTAGATGCTCAAACAGCGTCCCATTTGGAGCATACTCGAAAACCATCATTCTTGTGAAAGGCTTTTCTTCTTCGCAATATCCAATAAGGTTAACAAAGTTCTTGTGGTTAACTTTTGATAGTGTGCCTATCTGAAAAATGACCAAAATTCAGATTTAGTGATTGTGAGACTTTATGAAAGCTGCATACATAAAGTTCAGAGAGTTTGTGTTTGGCGTGCCTTCTTTCTGAACTGTGTTTCTAAATTCTTTGACCAGTCTTCAGCTGACTTCACTGCTGTAGATGTCACTGCTATTTCAACTCCACTTGAAAGAGTCCCTTTGTACACTGTGCCATCTGATAAAGAGCCAATTATGTTACTGAAATCTTCACAAGCTGTTTGAAGTTCTGATAGCTGCAGCTTTGGTACACCTGGAATGCAGATTCCCAAACATGATTATGAAAAATGATAAACAGATAACAAGAGTAGCAGAAGAACCAATAATTGTCCCAAATTTAATGACTGGATGATAAAAAACCGCACTATGTATGTGCCACACATGCAGGGAGGGTGGGACGCTTTCTCCATGGTAGTCGTTAAGGAGGTAATCTAATAAAAAATTTGAACCCATGAGCATAAATATATAATGTTTTATAAGATAATAGTTTTGAGGCTATCAAGCCTATCATAAGAAAATAATTGCTCCAGGATCTAACCCATGGATATCAGTCCTACCAGGTTGCATGCCTAGTGTGCATTTGGTTACACAGCTACAAACTCTCCTCAATTGTCTTTGAGGAAGTTCAGACATGGAATACAATCTTTAATCTAATGATGTAGAGGAATAACCTGTTACAAATGCTTTCTGCAGCTGGCCACTTAACCCTGTTGCCCATGGTTTGACAGTAACCACCTTGCTGTTTCGACAGAAGACAATACCAATGGCTGAAACAAATATGAACAAAGAACCCCCTATAAGCCCAGACCACATCATAACTTTCAACTTGGAACTCTTTTTGGTGCTTGCACTAGGAGTTGAAGCAGGGAAAGGGAATGGAGCAATATGGGATCCTGGTGGTTTAGAAACAACAGTTGGTGGATACGCTGGGGATTCTGAAGCTGGACTTGGAGGTAGTATAGGTGAAGGTGAAGGGGGCAAAGCGTCTGATGGGGAAGGAGATGTAGATTCTGGTGGAAATGATATAGATGTTGATGGGGGAAATGGTAAAGATGGTATTGGCGAATCTGAGGGTGACAATGAAGGTGACATTGAAGGTGACGGTGACGGCGACGGCAACGGCGACAAAGAAGGTGATGGTGATGGAGAGGAAACGGAATTCCTTTTATTATCTCTCTTCTTTTCAACTCTTGGTGAATTTTGGGTATCTTTCACCTGCAGCAGCCTCCGCTGAGCTTCGTCTCCAAGTTGAGCAGTTTTCCTGACAGAAATAATAGCAGTCATCATAAAGCAGGTGTGGACAATAAGTACTAATTGATTTTACACTAAGTGAAAAGTCACTGTTGAGGCAAAAAAGTTTGTGGCATAAGAGTTTGATTTAGAACTCCTCGCTAGTACCACAGACCAAATGCAAATGTGGTGAAGTACCACCCCATCAGCCTCGGCAAGAAACTCAATAGTCATAACCAGCCTTTCAATTCTGAAACTCTATATTTTTCTATCAAGATTAATAACCCGCTATAGCATGTATAACTCAGTTATTCATGAATACCAATAATAAATAGAAACTACACGAAAATCCTGAATAATTTCCAATACAAAACTTTCAACAATGTTGCTTAAAAAAATGTTGCAGCTTCTTTTTCAACTAATTTTAATCCTTTTCTCCCCAATGTGGTTAACTTTTCTTTCCATGAGCTGTGTTCGTTTCCAAGTTTGGTATCACATATCTCAGGTGTTGGGTCTACACAATCGATGACTGACCTCGTAAAATTCGAGAGTAGTAACCCAAGGTTGTAATAAACAGAAATTGAGAATTTCTTCTCACGGGCTAATGTACTAAGATAACTGCCTTTTAATTAATTCCATAACCATATTCCTTTCGTGCATTCTCATAATCTTAAAATTTTCTCATAATTTTGTTAATTCCATAAACAAAATGCATATTAGAATAACTGGAAGGAAAAAAAGGGTACCATGTACTAGATCTGCTATTGCAACTATAACCTAAACCTAAAGTAGCCCTAGTCAGCAGGCCCTCATCCACTTGAATTTCGGAAAGCATCATAAGCTTATAAATTTCAGGAGATATGCTGCCAAAAAGGTTGTTGTTGTCCAATAAACTGCAATAATGACCATAAAATTGTAATCAATACAAGCTTAGGTGAGAGTACAAAAAATAACCGCTGGAGATTTGTAGGGAACAACTTACAGAATTGATAGGGACAGGTTATTGCCAAGATCAGATGGAAATGGTCCGCTGAAGTTATTGTATCCCAAGTCCAACACCTCCAACTCCTTCAATCCTCCAATCTCTTCAGGAATCTTTCCAGTAAAAGAATTGTTCCGTAAAATGCTGCAGCAAAGTAGAATAAGATTAAACAATCATAAATACAGTAGAAAAAATGAACTATTTGGGTTCACAAATTGTAGTGATATTTGCTTACATAGATTTTATGTAAGTTAGCATCCCAAGTTCGGGTGCAAGCGTTCCTCCAAGACAAAGATCTTTCAAATTCCTGCAATTTGAACAAATAGGACTTTAAGGATGATATAAAAAAAAAAAGGATTGTCAAAAACAAGGAATATACCTACAATATGTAAGGAATCGTTAAATGAGTAAATTAAAGGATTACTTAAACAACTACATTACTTCTAAACAGTTGTGACATTATGCACACTTAATTGTTTGCAATCTTCTCACTTTAAGGACTATGTCAAATCATAAATAATTAGTATTAAGAAGTTCCATTCCGCACACCATACTTGTGCTTTGCTTGGTATAAAACTGCAGCAAAGCTAAAACATTTTCGATTTAACATATCAGCCAAAGTTACAGTAGCATAACGCTTAATCCTATGAACAGAGTTATCATAAAGCACTGTTATCTTGCAATATGCAATTCATATACAAAAAGGTCCACTTCTGCCAGGATACTTGTTTGGAGAGGTTTTTGATATCTTAATATTTGGGAGTACATAGGGAAATTAACTACGATTTCAAAAAGGTTTTAAATAACATTACCATTCTTTTTCATAGTTTATGAATAAATATATTTTATGTATAAATAAAAAGAGAAATTAAAAACAGAGACAGAAAAAGGTAGAAATAAAGAGAGAAACGTGATAAAATAGAAGATCTCCGAGGAAAAAGTTGAACTTAAAAGGTGAAGCAAGTAGACATTGTTTTTTTTTAAAAGTAAAAATTGAACTACTTTGCATTCTTAAAAGAGTTGAGAATCGATAAAGAAATAAGTTACTGATGTAGAACTAATTATCTGAAGACTACATGGCCATTTTGGAACGCCAGCAGGTCAAACTGACGGGCTGATGCAATTTTTCGGGACAGTTTCGGCGAGTCTATTTTGACCTGAAAAAGACCCCTTTCTGATTGGAAGAAGCACAACTCTGCTAGTGATGTACACTGCTTTTTGGCTGAATTCCATCTTTTGGGGGCCGAATTGGCTTTTTAGAATTGTTGATTATTTTGGGAATTTTGTTAGAAGTTTAAACAATTCGAATTCATTTGATTTTTTATATTTAATAATTTGTAGTGATTAGGTTTCTTATCCTATTTTTTTCTTAATTTTTAGAGAAAGTTTTATTTTGGACTTATTTTTAGCTTTCCTTGTACTGTTAGGTTTAGGGTCTCTTCAACATAGAGCAGAATTCATTCGTTGATTAATAATATTTTCATATTTCTCTTTGCTTATAATTTGTGGATTCAAAGTTGTTCCTTATTCACCATTGAATGTTTAAACTTCCGCTCCATCAGTTACACGCTATCTATCATAGCTTATATAGTATTTCAATTTTTTTCATATAAATACAAGCCTAATTTTGTTTTTTATGAATGGCATTGACATGCTGAAATCTTCTCATATAGCGATAGCGATGTGACAAGAAAAAATAATAAATCTCAAATTCGCATTTTACAGGGAACAAAATACAATTGGAAATTATCAAACAAGGATTCCAATTTTTTAGATCTCAACAAAAATATATATTTTGCTCAATCAATGTAGGTATATAAATACATAAAACCATATTAGCATATATATACCTATACACAAAATTGAAATTAGTCATGTGAGATTGGGTGTTCGCAAAAGAATCACTCACAAGATTACAACTTTTCCGTCCGAGCACTCGACTCCGAACCAAGAACATGGATCAATATCACCGTCACGATCATCCCAGTTCGACAGAGCACCGAATGGATCTCTCACCACTCCGTCTCGAAACCTCAACAACGCCAACCCTGCATTCAAGTTTAGAAATCCTCATTCCCAATTGGTATTGACAGACCAACATAGACTCAGATTGTACTGAAGAAACCCAAATTGTAGTGAAACGTAAAGGTCGTACCTTCGGCGTTGAGAGACCAACATAGACTCAGATTGTGATGAAAAATATATAACATCGCCAGCATCACTATTCGAAGCTTGAAACAATTGAATCCCCATTTCTCAATCATTTCAAATAGAAGAAACCCAAACAAAATTTAGTACAATTCGTCTCTGTAGACCAATCAAACTTGGTTCAATCAGTATGATAGATAATATAGATATATATATTATATGTATTTGCCGTGTGTAAAGTTGTAAACTACATATACATAGAGAGCAGAATAGATAGAGAAAGAGAAATCGGAATGAATATAGAAATATATATATGTAGAGAGAGAGAGCTTGGTGGTATCTCTGCAAGTACAAGCTAATATCGACGAGGAGAGAAGAAAACGCGTGGAATCGGTGATTTATTGAATTAAATATCCGAACCCGATAAATACAGACAGATAAACCGGAAAACAGGTGATCCGAAATGGCGATGAACCGGCCCGAATGTTTTTCTTCGCTTTTCGAACGCGGGGATTTAGGACGTTGAATTTCGCTGTATCATTGGCGTCGCCGACTCTCTCTCTCTTATAAAGGTGGCCGTGGCGCCCTCCTCTGATTATTGAAGCCAAGTGCTTCAGCACGTGACGCTTAATTTTCCTTTTGTTCATCTTTCTTTTTCCTTGATTACTACCATTTAATATATTTCTTTGGTAACAAAAGAAAAAAATATATCATTAATTATTGTTTTTCTCAAATTTCTAATGCTTGAATTAGTCAATTTATTACTCATAAAAAAAAGGAAAAAAATCTCAATTAAGATATATATATATATATATATATATATATAAACATTAATATAACTTTTATCTAAATGATCTAGCCTAGCGCACCCGGCACATTTTCTTGCGGAACCAAAATCGGAATCATTTCCAACTGTTCCTAAAAATCGGAATCGGAATCGAAACTGTTGGGACGTGAAACCGGAATCAAAACCGTTGGGAAATGAAACCCGAACCGAACCGGTTCCATGGTTCCGGTTCCCTTTTTTATTTTTTCATAACTATTTTTTTTAGCAATACCTTGACTAAAAAATTTTCCTTTGCTCTGTTTAGTAAGAAAGAAAAAATAAATAAAAATAAATAGATGGAAGGGAGAGAAGAAGGGATGCATGAGATATCATTAGGGACAAAATTATGTATTTCTTTCTTTTTGTTCGGTTTGATAGAAGAGAATAAAATAAAATCATAATTTACTATGTTTATTAGAAGAGAATGAAATAGAAATTTTAATTGATTTTACTATTATATCTAATAATATTTATAATATTATAACTTATAGAGATAGTACTGTAATTTAAAACTTGTATAAATCATGATAGTATTTAATTTAAAAATTTTATAATAGTCCACTCGGAATGGTATTTAATTTAAAACTTCTATAATAGTCTTCCCTCTTTTATTCTACCAATTTTTGGACGGATCAAAATTTGTAAGAGTTGTCCTTCCTATTCTCCTTTTTTTTTTGTATCATCTCTATCGATCAATGGAAATTCGTCACTTCCTTCCTATATTATCTCCATACATCTTATTTCCTATTCTCCTTTTTTCTTTGTATCATCTCTATCGATCAATGGAAATTCGTCACTTCCTTCCTATATTATCTCCATACATCTTATTTCCTTCTTACCAAACACAACAAATTATAGGCATATACATTAGTAATTATATATATATTTAGGTATAAATTAGTAATTATAGGCATTTATATATATATATGCCGAAAATATATATATATCCTTAAATATAAGTATATACAGTAGTAATTATATAATTAAAAAAATAATATATATATATATAATTATTATACGATTCGGATTTCCCTGATTTTTTATGCACCCCCTAAGCTAACCAACTCAACTCTAAAATTATTTTATGAAGGAAAAAATCTCTAGTCAACTCAACTGGCGAATTATGGACTTGGTTTGCTTAAAATTTATTCAATCTAAATTATAATTCGTTAATTTATTTTTTAAAACATAATGAACTATAATATATTTTTACATATCGTTGTATCAGTGAACGTATTTTATGCTGTCTGCCATTCTTTTCAATACTACAATTGTTGATTTATCAAACTATTTAACCACGTCACAAATATAATTAAAATTTTACTTTTATTTTTATTAATCATTTGGCAAATTTAGCAACACATTGTTAAAATTATTAAAACGGAATCCAAATCCCCCATGCCTTGCTCTGTTTCGTGTTTAAATTATTAATACAACACACTACAACGTAGATTTTGTAATAGTGTAACAAATAATTGAAAAAGTTATTTTTCATAAATAATGTAATGTAGTTATTGCGATATAAAATTATAAATAATGTGAATTATTATATAAACAATGTAATAACACAAAATAAAATAGCACAACAGGCCATTTGTCAATCCCAATTTGATGCAAGTCTTCAATGTCATAATTGAAATAAATTATATAATTGAGCAATAATGTCAACTGGTTGTCAACTATTCTATGAGTTAACTTTCCACTAAACCAAATGATCTATGGTGTGGCATTCATACACAATCATTTCAGTGGTTTTATTCATTTAGAAATCACTAAGAGTAAGATATATTCTGAATTCATTTTATCCCAATTATTTATTTGGCATCCCAATTATTCTTCTTGTTGAAAAATTATCATAATTAATCATGTGTCAAGTGAGCGTACTGAGTCATATATGCACAACTCTCTCATCGACATATATATATATATATATATATATATATATATGGATTGGATCTATATGTTTCTTGCCGTCTTGGGATTGGTTCCTTTCTATCTACCATTTATAAATTCTAGCTAGGAATTTATGAGGAATCGTTACACGTTCAGTTTTCCTAATAACTTGCATGGTCTTATATTACCATCTTTATTGACTTGGTATAATATTCCACTTAAATAGGAAGAAAAATAATAATAATATTGCACTTGAATGATAAATCATGTTGATGTCTATCCAATCCATTTTATTCTCGCTTGGTGTGTGTGACTTTTTCTTTTTTTCTTTTTTTCTTTTTGCCTATAATTAATAAATGCCTCGGAGAGAGAGAGAGGGACTTAAACATTAGAATTTTTGGATTCTGGCCTGCAAAAGATAACCCCATTAATTTTTAAAAAAAATATCATAAAAATAATAATTGTGAAATATTTAATACATACCTACTTGTGTGTGTGTATATATATATATAATACACACACTAACCCAAGGAAAGATAACAAGTCGATATACGATCGAACAGAGCGTTGAAATCATAGGTTGGGAGGAGATAAGTAGGTGGGGAATGGATATAATTCTCAGTAGGTTCGTATTAGTTGTGCCATACTTTAGGCTTTGTTGTAACAATAAATGTCATAGTAATAAAAATAATTGTAAATTTTATTGTTAGTTGTTGTATGGTACAATTTTAAAGTGCATATAATAAAATAGAAAAAAGAAAAAGAAACAACTAAAAGAAGAAACATGAGTTTTCAATGTCGTATAACACTTAATTAAATTTCATGTTTTTCTTGGAGGATTATTATAATATATAATGTTAATTATATAGTATATGGTAACGGGCCAGTTCATGCACGCATTGGGCGACACTAGAGGGGCCAAGAAGTTGACGTACGGTCCACCGTACTATATGGGTCTAAAACGAAGATCGAAAACTCTGTTTTGTTGTGGCTTGTATTGTAATAAAATCATGTGTAACATGTCATTTTTTGCGTTGAAGTGTGATTAAAGGTCAGGCGACTATAAGATGAATTAAATTTAATGTAACATGTCGTTTTATGCGTTAAAGTGTCATTAAAGATCGTATTCGGAGGCCGGAAGGTCGGACCCATGACCAGACCACCTCCGCTGCACCCTGCAAGACCATGGTCAGGTCGATCTGGACCACAATTTAAATTTAAAGTTGCTTTAATTTGAAACTTTGTTGTTGGTGGTGGTTTTTTTTTTTTTTTTTTTTAATTAGTGGAGTTGGACTTGTAAACCAGAAGTGGGGCTCGTTTTGTTACCATCAAAAGGACAATTTAACCCCCTACAGCTATGCAGATAGAAAGCTGAGAATGACCCTTTCAATTTGTGATGTAGAGTTGGCAACCTACGTTGCCATGGTCACCTACATTGCTTGTAAATACATTTTTTCTCAGGGGTAAATTTTTCGGAAGCTACGTACTCTTTCATGTCGTTATGCATCTGGGCTGCTAAATGAATCAAACTTTGGTGAACAAATTGAACTCATGTTGTTAGGAGAGACTTAATTTAGTTCATCTTGTAACGAGTCAGATTTGAACATTTCAAACGAACTCGTGTAATTAGGAGAGACCTAATTTAGTTCATCTTGTAACAAGTCAAATTTGAACATTTCAGACTCGTCCGCGCAAACAAATTACCTCAACTTTTTAAATATTTTTAAATATATTCATAATCACAACCAAAAATGATATCCTCTCTGCTTTTCAAAATAGAATGCGAGAGGTTCAAGTTTTTTTTATTTTTTTTTTTAGTTTGGAATATCATTCGTATGCGTTTTTTTTTATTTTTTTTTTCTAGTTTGGAATATCATTCGTATATACGTCAATGTTTCATTTGAAAATAAAATTGAACTTCTTCAATATTACAAAGGTTGGAATTTTCTTGTCTTTTATTTTTTGACACAACCAAACAGAAATTGATGAGAGTTGATTTTGAACATTTCGAGTTGAGAATTCTACATTGCTTGTAAATACATTTTTTTCTCAGGGGTAAATTTTTCGGAACCTACGTACTCTTTCATGTCGTTATGCATCTGGGCTGCTAAATGAATCGAACTTTGGTGAACAAATTGAGCTCATGTGGTTAGGAGAGACTTAATTTAGTTCATCTTGTAACGAGTCAGATTTGAACATTTCAAACGAGCTCGTGTGATTAGGAGAGACCTAATTTAATTCATCTTGTAACGAGTTAGATTTAAACATTTCAAACTCGTCCGCGCAAACAAATTACCTAAACTTTTTAAATATTTTTAAATATATTCATAATCACAACCAAAAATGATATCCTCTCTGCTTTTCAAAATAGAATGTGAGGGTTCAAGTTTTTTTTATTTTTTGTTTTAGTTTGGAATATTATTCGTATATATGTCAACGTTCGTATATACGTCAATGTTTCATTTGAAAATAAAATTGAACTTCTTCAATATTACAAAGGTTGGAATTTTCTTGTCTTTTATTTTTTGACACAACCAAACAGAAATTGATGAGAGTTGATTTTGAACGTCTTGTGAGTGATTTATTTTGACTTGTTAAACAACTATGTTTTATCTCACCTTTTTTTTTTCTCAACTTAATTAATACAAGGATTTGGATTTTCTTAGTTGTAAATGAAGTATTTTTTTTTTTTTTTTCTCAACTTAATTAATACAAGGATTCGGATTTCCTTAGTTGTAAATGAAGTCTTTAAAGCTTGGGTGAAAAACAGGGGCACTTGAAACACAATATGCATTTAAGTCTTAATTTCAATTTTCCGAAATTGTCTTCAATCAGCCACAGAATTTTTCATATGAAGATGGTGATGTAACAAGAAGTAATAAATTTTGAAATCATTACAGAGTCCAAATTTGATGAATCATTAACAAGTAATCCGAAAATTAAAGTTAACCAGAGTGATCTCAACTATCATTTATTTCTATAAATTCATTTTGTTAGGCATTCCGATTTGCCTACACTTCATCTTTGTTGGACACACGAATTAGGATGGTAAGAATGATCATATTCTTTTGTCTTTCTCGTACAGCTTTCAGCACACCATGAGTTGTCAAAAGCAATTTACTATCACATTGTTTCCACCGAGTCTATGACATGCAAAGTTAGTAAAATATGGTGAAAAAAATATTTATTTGTAAATGTAGGATATAATTCATTTTTCTTGTTTAAAAAACATTAAAAATAAAATCTCCATAAAAGAACAAAAAATAGAAAAATACGAATATGGATATAGTAAGGTATAATACATTTTTTTAAATAAAAATTGGTCAATAGAAAAATCATCTATATTTCTTCTCTGCCTTATATATTTTCTTTTCAATAATATAAAAAACTATAAATAATATTATAAAGTGTTGTAAAGAAATGGAGGACTAGAGAATATTGAAGAGTAAAAATTAATTGATTTGAAAATTCTAAGAAGAATATAGATTTATCAGATATATTTAAGTAGAGAGTTCTAAAAACTAAATCTACATCTTAACCGGATCAGATATAATAACAAGAACAAACAGTGAGGTCCAAATTCGTTTGAGTACCATGTATCAAGTAGAATGAATCATAAAAGTTAGAAATAACTTGTTAACAATTGAATTTAGCATCACAAAATCTATTACTAACATTCACTTCTATGGACATCTTCAAACCGCCTTGCTCTCCGTTATTATAATTGCTACTCCCCTGCAGAGTCGGTGGCTGTTTTGTTCTACCATGAGAGATTTCAAATTGAAAAAGGGCTAACATACAGACATATATGTTAACTTGTAAATAAACGTAAACATTGATGAAACATTTTTGCCATTTGTACAGGCATACTGCATAAATTATTTTCAAATCTCATTCTGTTGCAACTAGAAACATATAACCCAAGATCATTTGATCATTCCCTCCTCTAGAAACTATATATATTACCCAATACGCCTTACTCTTCCCACATGTGGAAGACTCACAATGCAATTGAAGGCTAACCATTGATCTGCTCTAACCCTTCTCTTCATCTTCTTCACCTCACTCTAACCCTTCCTTGTCCTTCTCCACCTTCAATTTCAGATAGACAAATGTGCATTTTTATAGAACTACATTTAGTCTCCTCAAAACTCTTTAGAGAAGACTTGCGGAAGAAAAAAAAGAAGAGAGGGAACTCTTCAAAGACAGCACACAAACTTAGTCATCTTCATATTATTGCCAAATTAGCCATGAAGTGAGCAAATCTCTCATTGGGGAAATTTTTTATAAAAGTCACTGAATGCTGCCTCATAATTCTTGATTGACTCTTGTCTCAGGTAATCTCAACCACACGGTTCAATAAAGAAATTTAGCATTGAAGTTGTTGACCGTTGAAGCGGTTGGACAAGCATTTTCTCATAATCGCCTCCTTATAACTTGGGAAAACTGTGTGTGTGTGTTCATTCCCTATAGAGTCTCCCTAAGCCTCAAGTAGATGAAGAATGCACAACTGGGTATCAAGAACCATATCTTTGTTAGGTAAACCAGCAATGGTTCAGCTGATATGACCTGGGCCTTTATTCTCTTCTTCAATACAGAATTCTTATGAAGGTAGCTGACTCTTTACTTTTTATCCACTCATAAATATCCTTCAAATGGTCTCAGAAGATTAAAACGTTCACTCAAATGGACTTTGACCATAAATATCCTTGAATCATCAAATAGCTCTATTTGGAGAGTAATACTAGACTCCACCAAATTTAGCAAACAATTCTCACTGTTGACAGAATTGCACATCTGCTTAAGCAAGTTAACTATGAGACTCGCGAAAGTACAAGGCCAGGTTCTATGGGATTGAATTGGAAGGTTCAAAGGATTGTGGAGACACTCCAAAGAAACTGGCAGTTACCCGCATCATAATTCATGTCTAGACCATATACTCCCCAACTTTATATTCCAGAGTCACATAATTTCATTCTTCAGAAGAGGAAATCGGTTCAATACTAAAGTCAGCTCTTTAGCAGCCGCACAAGTTATCACAAAACAAAGACACCAGGTGGATATGAAAGATTTTTTATATAAATTCTATCCATCTATTTTTGCTATTTATTTAAAAATTGAGATGATAGGCACTTATTAGAAAAATAGAGTCAGATTGCCCAGGAAACATAAATAAATAGAGAATTCCGAATCAGAGTTTCGAATAGAGAATGATGTCACTTTTAGCTTAAAATAAATAAATAAATAAATAGATCACACACACTAACACATCATCTTATATGGAAGTTCTAGGTAAAAATTTTATAAGTAAAGCCCTTTATTTATAAATAACAATGAAGCATTTTCACCTAGCTTGTTTTGCTTACACCCATGTCAAAGTTCTCCAAGAGAAATCTAACATATAAAGAGATCATACACACTGGGACCATTAGTTAGTGTGACGAAAGTTTTGGTGGATAAAAATGAAGACGATACAAAATAAAAATCATTAGTTACTGTGGTGTAAGTTTTGGTGTATAAAAAGATGATAAAAATCTGTTTCTTAGTACTTCCATTGACAGGACCAATGGATATTGGGATTTACCCAAAACGAAATGTTAAAGGGAACATGAAAAAGAAAGAAAGAAAAACAAGTCATCGAAAATTTATAAATGTCAAGTCATAACTAATTAGATTCTTCATAGACAAAACCACCACCATATAAAAAACCCAAGAGCATGCCATGGCCCTCAATTCCAATGTGTAACCACTTTACAAGACACAAGTGATAATTGTTTTCAAATGGGTGCATGTGTATCTAGCTTACCATGTCGGCTGATCCTAGAAAAACTTCAGTCACAAAGCTACAAAAATTACAGAACTGAAAGAAATCAAAAAGAGACTTTTTTTTTTTTTTTTTTTCAATCTCAGCATTTCTCATTCTCAGTTCTTTTATTCTGATAATCAGACGGTTCAAAGTGGTGGGGAAGACAAGAAGGGCACCTGATCAGACCGTTCTCATTGCACGCCGTGCAGCTCCTGAATCCACCCTTCTCTGAATAGCACTTGTGGCTTCCGCTACACTCGTCGCAGAGGATGAACCGGTAACCGCCGCAGACCTCGCACACGCCCGGCTCTTCCGCCGGCAAGCCCTCGACGTACTTTTTGAGATCACCGGCCTCGTGAAGCGTTCGGATCTCCTCCGCCCCACCCATATACCGTCCACCGATAAAAACCCTAGGAAGGGTCAATTTTGACTTTTTTGGCTGACCCAATATCCCCTGTAGCTCCTCTAAGAAAGCAGAGTCCATTGCCAGATCTCTCTCGTCGATCGATACCCGGAAGCCCCGCAGGATCGCCCGGACAGTCCGGCAGTCCTCGAACGTTGGTCGGACCACGCGGAGGCTCGTGAAATACACCACTATCCGTCTCTCGGCACCCGGGAGAGATATCGACGGCTCAGATTGCGCCGCCGCCTCCTCTGATGAAGGCGTAGCATTGGGTTCGACGGCGGGAGAGTTAATGGCTTCGCTTGGAGCACTAATGGGTTCGCTTGGAGCACTATTGGGTTCGCCAGAAACACCATTGGGAGCACTATTGGGTTCGCTTAGAGAGCAATTGGGTTCGGCGACAGCGTTATTGGGTTCGCTTGGAGCCCAATTGGGTTCGGCGTGAGGGCTTTGGGAGGGGCTGTTTGCCAAGGCGCGGATGACTGAGTTAGCGAATCTGACTCGGTGGAAGACGGAGGGTTTCCGGGGAGTAGAGGGTTGCTGCTGATGGTGGTGTTGTTGTTGGTCGGAATCGTCAGAGCAGAGGTGTTCGATGTCTTTGAAGGTGGAGCATGAAAAATTGGGATGGGCTTTGTGAAACTGAACCGCTGATTTCACCCGCCGCCGCCACATGAGGTTGAAGATTTAAGATTCAGAGGCAGAGGCTATAGATTCAGAGATAGATAAATAGATAGATATAGAGAGAGAAAAATAAAAGAATGTGGGTTGTGTTTGTTTTTTGGGTTTGATTTGCTTAAAGAGGAGGTGTTGGTGGAATGAAGGAGGAGCTGCAAAAGCGGGGGAAGATGAAGGGTTTGGGCGGGGGGAGTGAAGGGTCAGCCTTTTTTCTCTTTTTCTAGAGAGAGGAGAGAGAGAAAGGAAAGGAAAGGAAATAAGATGAAATGAAATTAAGGAAACAAGGGCTGGGATGGAACTTGGAAGGGTAGGGAAGGGAAAGGAAAGTTAGGCGGTTGGTTAAGTTAGTTGAGATGGTGGTTATGCTTTGCTTTAATGAGGTTTAAAGGGAATGAAAAGTGATTAGAGATGAAAGGTCCTAATTAGAAGGTGGCATAGTAATGTATTGACCTCGTCAAATACAAGCAAATGGATTTGAATTAATTTAACCATCTACTTATATGATATTTAATACAAAAATCTATACATATGTGTGTGTGCATATATTTAAAGGGAATTGATACAAGCAAATAGATTTCAATTAATTTAACTATCTAATTAGATGACATTTAATACAAAAATCTGTATATATACACACACATATATGCATATATTCAAAGGGAATTGATATTGGCTCTTCATCATTATCCTTAGCGGAGACTTCTTATTTCTTTTCTCTTAAGATGAAATTACAAAAGCGTCCATAAACTATACAATATTTAATTGTTACAACTTTTAATACCATAATTACCCTTCTCTCTTGAGGTTAAGAATTCTTAATTAAATTCCTTCAAATTCTCATTCAAGTTATCATTTTCATCTCTTCAAACACGAAAATGGAAATTCTCATTCGCTTTACCATCCTTCATCTCTTCTAGCACAAAAATGAAAATTTTCCCTAGGAAATCTCATTATAGTATTTTTTTTTTTTTTTTGTTCTAATTCCTTCTTTAGAATATATATTTTGAGTTGATTTTGAACGTATTATTTATTTTTGTTAAATTATATCAATCTAGAGCATCCTTAGAAATATTGGATCAATCTATCAATATTTACTTTATTACTGAATTTTATCCTTGAATTCCATAGAAAGAATCATAGATATAATCCCTGATAAGACTGGAAAAATTCTGGTCCTTTTTTTCTTTGCTTGCCCTTTTTGAATTGAAAGCAAATACTGTAACAACACCCCTTACCCCCAAACTTAAATGGCACAGTGTCCTCCATATGTTAGGAGAACTTTCCTTACAAAGGAAGTTGAAAATAAAAAATCGGGGAACAAATTATTGTTAAACAGAAGTGAAAAAGTTTAAGATTCAGGCTCTATTTGTTTGAAAGTAAAATATTTTTCAAAAAATATTTTTTTATTTTCTAGTATTTGGTTGTCAGTAAAATTTTTACGAAGAAAAAAATACAAGTTATTTTACATGTCCCACCCAATGGGCTCGACGACCTCAACCTCCATATAAACCTTTGTCAAACACTGACAAAATAAAATATATATATATATTTTACCTGATAAAGAAAAATATTTTTCAAAAAGAATATTTTACGTCAAAACAAACGGAGTCTATGTAAAATTTATCTTATTAAAATAAAAAGTATTAGAGTTGAAAACAAACTTTTATTTAAATGAATAAAAAAATATTTAATTGAATTGCAAATAAAAAAATATGTTAAAACATCACAATAAAAATCTAAAGTTTAGAAAAAATTATGAATCCGACCATCTTCAACCGTTGTGTGTGTGTGTAGATATATATATATATATTATAAATGTGATGTGTCATGATAGATTTACACAAAAAAAAAAAAAAAATGGATTATTTATTTTTAGTTTGAGGGTTGTTTTATATATTTTGTGTAAAAATATATCTCCCAAGTATCATGTTTAATAGAATGAGAGAGGGAAAAGAAAGAAAATATGTTGTTGTGGCTATCTTAACATAATGATGGAGATAAAAAAAAAAAAATTAAAAAAAAAAAAAAAGAAAAAAGTACACATCAGACATGCCAAATTACACATCATACATCTCAAATGAATTTAAATTTAATTTATTGAGATTAAAAATGATCATGATATTAATTTTTTTTTCCTTTTTCCCTTCTTGCATAGGTTTACATTTGCAAGTGGACAATGCAAGGATGAGCATTATACAAGTCCCACCATTTTCGGAATTGAACACTTTTTGTTACGTTTTTTGTTTTGGTAAAATGTATGATGAATGGTTGCATTAATATAAGTAAATCAAAATTTGATTTCTATACAAACGATGGATCGTAACCCTCGAGTGAGATCTAGATGGCACATTTTCTGTTTTTTCATCTTGCAATCGTGTTTGCTCCATTAACAACTTAAAACCCCTCTAGTTTTAATTCGGATGTAAGATTACCGCGTTAACTAAGTAAAATTAATTATTAGTTTAATATAAGCTCTCCATCCAAATGTATCAATTTAGAATTGGATGCACCAAATTCGTGTTTTGAATTTTTTTGTAGAAATTAAAAATAATAATAATTTATTTAATTGCTTTAAATTTAGAAATGAAATAAATTTAATTTAAAATTTGTACTTATTTTTTTCAAATTCCAAATTTGAAATACCCAAATTCCAAATTTAAAGTACCGATTTGATTATCCTAAATGAAACAATAACTTAATCCATATTAAAAATCTCATTAAGCCATGTTATCTTTTAAAAACGTTTACATAAAGTGTCAACTGATGAACCAAGAATATACTTCTGGAGGGAACTAATGGAAGAAGCAATTGGGGACCATTTTTATGTATGTATATATAATGCTTTATAAATATATACATATATATATATATATGTATATGTATATATATTCAAATAATTACTGCACAGGACACAAGGTGTGTGTGGTACTGCATAAGTTGTTGCCAAAAGATAAAGGTTAAATAATTCAACCGAAGTGGGTGCGTTCTGAAAAGTTTCATGTGCAAAGTAGAAAAGGAAGTGGTGGTCTGAACTGAATTCACATGGCCAATTCTTAAAGATGAAATAACCCGAATATTTGGATTCAAATTGTGGTTTCTTATCCTGGACTAGGCCATGCGGTCAAAATAAATATGGGCTCAACCAATATACATTGGGGTTTAGGCCGTTTGGCTCTGAACCCAACTTTTTTTTTTTTCTTTTTTTTTACTAGTATTTTGAGGTTTGGGTCACAGTTGATTTCTATACTTTGATATTTCGGTTCATTTATACGAGTAATATTTTATTTACTAGTATTTTGAAGTTTGGGTCACAGTTGATTGTGACTTGTGTGAAAAAATGTTCATATTTTTCCAAATATTTTGATATATTATTTTTAACAATAATAGGTTGAAGGTTTTTTTTTTCGTTTTTTTTGGTTAATACCAAGAAATGGGATTAAAGATTTGATATTCATTCATTACTAATGAAATTCTATTGTTGGTTCATTTAAATGTACTAGTAAAAATTTGCGTCTCATGCAAAATTTAATACGAGTAAGTATGTCTAAAAATAAAAAGATAATGTCCAATATTTTCTAATTGACCTATTGATAACTATTTTTTTCTCCATTGATTTTAAAGTAAGACCAAAATCTCATTTCCTAGTTAATACCATTTTTCAAATGAGTAATGATAGGCAACGTGAAAGACAAAACGTCAAAACTTTTTGAATCTGACTTGACTTGGCCACGAGTTACGTAATAAATAAGGAAATGGAGCCCTCTACTTAATTGTATTTAAGTATAAATAGTCAATTAAAAATTTACTATAAGTGTTTAGTGTGAGTATCATTACTCTTTTTTACATGGTATAAGTGAAAGGGAAAAAAAGAAAAAATAAATAGAAAAATAAAAAACATGGTGAATCATTAAAGAGTCCTCTTTCTCCACGCAAATCGGAAACTAAAAACTCTCCCTCTTTCCCATTACAAAAATCCTAAATCACAATACATAACAGAGTATAAATGAGTAAATCATTACTGAAGTCCTAAATCATTGAACTCCTAAATCGTAATACATAATAAAGTATAAATTAATGAAGATTTGAACACTAGTAATTTAAAAGCTTTGTTTGGGGGTGCTTTCTGAATTTAAAAGTCTTTCTATTCTGAAGGGCTTTGAAGAATGCCTTTCAATATACAAATTTAAGAGAAAAAAATTGTTTGGTGGATGCACTAGTTCAAATTTCTTCAACAATTAACATAATAACTTGACAATTTTATCCTTTACATCTACTCTTAAAAAAATTTCCACGAAGATTTCGGAGAAGATTACAAACATGTTAGCAATTGAATCAGCATATAGCAATATTGAAGAAATTGAGGGGACAAACATGTTGTTAGCAATTGAATTAGCATATAGCAATAATGAAGAAATTGGGGGGGGGGGGGGGGGGGGGGGGATATCAACAAATGGTGGATTCATAATTCTATTGTTGTTGTGCTGATCAATTATTGAAGATTAATTGTTAATAATAACTTGATAAACAGAACATATCTCCACTATAAAATCACTTTTTTACTTTTAACTCTCGATATTCTTCTCTAAAGGTTGACGGCAAACCATCTTTATATGATGAGTGACACAATTAGCAAGTGTCAGATAATTCATGGAGAGATTCAAAAGTAAATATTTAGAATTAAAAATTTAAGGTTAATCTACGATTAAAAATTTAGCTGAATGAGAGTAGAAAACTCTCAAAATCTCTTATCGTTATAGTTTCAGGGAATATAAAGTGGCAAACTTGTCTATAAATTTTGTTACTTAAAATTAGTATGGCTTTGGATGAATGAGTTTTAAAAGCAAGTAGTCCCAGCTTCGCTTGAACGGATTTATTAAGATTTTTGCATTTGCTAGAATTCCTTTTTCATTGTTTCACCAAACATCAACATTTTTTAAGAAAGGCTTTCATGGGCTTGGAAGCCCGTTGGGAAGCTCTCTCAAACAAGCACTAAATTTGTGTATATATATATTGAGTCCATGAGTTGTTATCTAATGCGGTATTTGTTTTGTTAAAATCAATAGTTAAGGAAGTTCTGATTTAGTTTTATGATCTTTTATTTTGTGAATTTAAAAATGTAGAACACAGGAAATAATTTTCTGTTTGTGATTATTTTCTTTTACTATCTCCTTCCAATTTTGGAGAGTTCTTTTTTTTCCCTTTTAGTTATACCATGTAAGAGAATATTATTTCTTTTGTAACTTTGGCGTGGCCTAACCAGGTAGATTCAGTGATTTTTCGCATTTTCTCTTTCCAAACTCATATTGATTTAGGTTTGCTTGGTTTGCAACTTTGTTTACTTTGTAACTCTTAAAACAGTTTCAGAGAATTATAAAAGGCCGTTATATAAAAATAGACCTTTTTTAAATTGAGTTTTCAGATAACTATAACTTTTTTTAATTGAATTTTCATAAAGTTAAATCAAGCCGAGGTTTTTTTTTTTATGATTTTGTATATTTAGTTTTTGAGAACAGAAAATTGTTTCCTTAGTTACAAATCAAGCAAGTCTTTTTCACATTTTTTATTTTCTATTGTTCAAAAGTTCAACAATTATGCCTGGCAAAAATAAAAATTGAACTTTTTTTTTTTTTTTTTCTAATCCTTTTATGTTCTGTATGTTTCTTTCCTTTTGTATTCTCTTTTTTTTTTTCTTTTTTTCTTCTTTTTCTTTTTCCGTTTTCCTTTCATTTTCTGTCTTCAACCAAACAAAAAGAAATACTGTAATATAATTATTTTTTCCCTCATGTCTACTTCTTTCATTTTTCCCTTGGAAGTCAAAAGTACATGCGTTTGGAAAACTTCAAAGAGAAGGAAAATAAAAAATAAAAAGTAAAAAATAGAGTTCCAACAGTTTTTTGGGGCTGTTGTCTTTTTCTATTTTGGTACAGCAAAAACAGAACAATTCAGTCGAGGTGTCCCTATATCCAAAATAGTACACCCTAGTCATTGTGGTTCTCTGGTTAACGAGAAATAGAGGAAAATCATTTAATATTTCAAATTATCAAAGATAATATACGTAGTAATTGAAACAGAAATCAAAGTACGAATTTGGGATTCGTTTAGAGTTGAAGAAAGCTTAAGAAATATCGAAGTACAGGTATATTTTGTACATTTACAATTACATAATATATATATATATATATAATGCATGAAAATTAATATCCATGTTACCCATGTGCATATATATGTGTAATTACATTTGTTCAGATTCAGCTTAGTTATTCTTTATCAGTATTTTTACTCGTTTATATTCAACTTGATTATGCATTCATGGTATTTCCACTTGTGTTTAATAAATTGTGAATTTCTTTCAGAATTATTGAATTTTAAGTAATTAGACAAATGATAAAGAATGACAAAACTGCATAATAATGGTAGTGTTAGGAAAATGAAGAACAAAACAATATTATGATAAATAATAAAAGTTAAAGGACATTTTATTTTGACAAAAAACCCCACACCTAAATTGCATAGCTTTTGGTCTGTTATATCCGTCATGATTCTCCTACTTTCAAAGAAAAATGTCGTGTTCTTTTTATCTAAATTAAACTTTTTGATACACCTACTATATAAAAAGTTCACCTTTTAAATTTTTTTGTTTTTTTTTTCCCTCACTTTCAAACCTATTTCTCTTTCAAAGAAAGATGAGTAAGACGAGAAATGTATTTTGAGACAGGCTACAAGCATATGCATAAATACATTATATAATCTTATTTAATTTGAATTATTTTTGCTAAATTATATTTATACATTTACCAATCCATTTTGAAACCACGTGAAAACAATTACATAATTGATTATTTGAATTAATTTTTTTTTTATTAATTTTGTAATAAATAATGATGTCATGATAATAAATTAATTATCTTTAATTAGTATTTTTTTTTTTCGTGGTTATTAACTTATTGCGACAATGCAATTTGCATAAAGTAAAATTTTATTTTATTATTTCTTGCATTTTCTTATGTACTCCAAAAGGTCCAATGAAAACTAAGACAAAATTATTGGAAGAAAACCGCAAAGGCCCATAAAAGTCCCTTTTGAAAGAGCACGACGAGTTGCAGAGCATCATCATCTTGAAACTCAGTACATTTTTTTTTAGTTCGTCAACCAGAGGCTCTGTATCATATCGTACCCCAAAAGACGAGTGCCTCTCAAAAAGCAAGAAGAAGCCATCGAAAGAAAGCAAAGCAAAGAAAGAGAGAATGGAGAGCAGTGACACCACAGGCGACACAACCGATCCACCGACCACCATGAACATCAATGTCAAATTCAAGGGACGAACCATACCTATCACTCTCTCTCCAGACTCCACCGTCAAAGACCTCAAGTCTCTCCTTCAACCAGTTACCGATGTCCTTCCTCGAGGGCAAAAGCTCATTTTCAAAGGTCCCCTCTCTCTCTCTCTCTCAGACACACACACACACGCACATCTCTCTTTAGAAATAACATCGAAACCCTAACAAGAAACCCTAATTCTTGATTCTTTTATTCACAGGCAAACTTCTGGTCGACGAAATGACATTGACGTCGTCGTATGTGACCGATGGGGACAAGATCATGCTCATGGCTACTCAGGGTTTACACCAAGGGGTATTCTTCTTCTTCCAACATGTATACATATAGTATGTTGAAGAAAGGGCCAATTGTCTTGTAATTCATCAAGATTTCAAATTCAGTGATAATTGAAGCTTTTTAATCAATGTAATTTCAATATTTTTTTCGGATTTTTTTTTAAATAGGATGGCCCTATCGGAAACCGAGCTCCGGCCTTATCGGATTTGAGGAGGACGACCGACAGTAATAGAGGTAGGTGGAAGGAAGTGAAGGATATTTCTGTTGAAAAGAGCCAGGTTGAACGTTGGAAGGCTATTGGGGTCATAGTTTTGTCTGGACGCGAGTTGAAGGTATAAGAAACTAGTCTTTGTAACGTAGATGGATGATTTTTTTGGTTATAATACAGGTTTATTGAATGCAAAGGCCCAAATAAAAAAAACTTGATATGGTTTGCATTTGGTAGTTGATCTTGGAGATCGAATGAGTGATATTATGTTTCACTTGACTTGAATAGACACTAACTTCTCAATCCAATTAGAAACGAATTTGGTCAATTGGATATTGTGATACTTTGGATGTTCATTTCTAGGTACCACACTATTCAGTAACAAACATTCTGTAATTTACCTGCTACTCTGTACAGGTTCTTATCAATGTTTGTGCGATTGTTGTTGTTTAGAAATGCTATTGATGTTCTTTCGTTCTGTTTTTCGAGTACTAGAAATAGCATGCTTGATTTTTTTGCAAATAATATCAGATTTTGTATGTGCACCCAGAGCACTTGATTAACAAAGACAACACTGAATAATGATTAATATGACAAAATTGTTTCAAGCACTTGCTGTTTGTATTTGTTTTCTTTATCTTTTTGTTTCTGATTAATATGACAAAATTAATCCACTGTATATAAAAAATCAGAAAGTAACAAATTAGGATGCTAAACAAAGATTTTTGTGCTAGTATCATGAGATTTGGTCAGCAAGTAAAAAAGAAAAAAAAATTAAAAATAAGTTTTTATCAATATTATTTAGTTATTTCTGCTAACCCTTTTATTGAAATTATATAATTTCTACTATAGTCATTTTTAAAAATATATAAATAAAAATTCAATGCACATTTCTTCTTTCAGTTATGTCTATGAACCAAATTTGGGAGTTTGCCACTTTGATTAATCTTTTATTTTGTGGCTGAGATAGATGGGTGATAATTTCTTTTTATTGGAACTTGAAAGGCCATACCTGATGAAGTCTGGACTTGCGCATCTTCTGCAAGAGTACTTGATCTCAGCCACAACTCCATATATGATGTACCAGTTGCAATTGGCTGTTTGCGTTCTATACAGGTAAGCAGATCCCTTTATTTCTCATTCAGTTGCTCCACTTTAGCAACTTTTAACATTGTGTTTTTCTCTTATGCTGTAGAAACTGGACCTGAATTCAAATTCTATGTCGGATGAATCCATTAGCTGGGAAGGACTAGCATCTCTGAAGTCCCTAAAAGTTCTGTCATTGAGCCAAAATCAGTAAGTCATTGGTTTGGTCTTTTTCATAGTTGTCATCATCAGGATAAACCACAGAGTACCCTTTTTTTTTTCTTTTTTTTTCTTTTTTGTACTGAACATCTATTTCTACCGTTCATGTTGGAGAATATGTAAATAAATTTTATAATAAAAAGTTGAGTATGCTACTTACTAGAAGTTAAAACATAAAATATCATGGTTGATGTGCACCTTTCATGGTTGAACAAATAAAGTGAAATTCAGTAAATGTAGATAACAGACTAGACCGATTGATGCGGGGATAGAAATCTAATCTGTGTGTGTTTACTCTCCATCACTTGGAATGGGAGGAGCTCATTATAATACAAGGTTGAGCTTGAGAAAATAGAATCAGAGAGGTTGGAACAATAAGAACTTGATCAGATTCTTTGTTCTAATATGATTATGCTGCTTGCAACTCTATATATATATGTATATGTTCTTATATATGCACACATATCTATCTATCTCCCTATTTCAAAGATAATGGGAGCTTGATAGAAAATATGAAGGGAAGGGTGAAGAAAGAAAGGAACTCAGAAACCCTTTGATGTATGTACTTACTGTTGTTTCACTGTCATGTGTTTGTTTATACAAGACGAAAAGTGCAAGATGTGATGGTCGAGTGTCTGAAATGTGTTGACTAATGTGTTGACTAACCAATAGGCCAGTGGCCTAGCGGTACTAGTCCCCTACTTTCCAAAGGGAGGTCAGGGGTTTGAACCTCAGTGAAGGTATGTGTGTGTGAGTGCCAACTAAGAAAAAAAATGTGTTAACCAAGTGTCTAAGATGTATCAACAAAGTGTCCAATATAATAAAAATTATTTTTAAATTATAGACACGGCCATGAAGTGTCGAACACGTATCCAATAGTGTCCATGAAGTTACGTTGTCCGACGTGGACATGGCACCTTCATAGAAGTGTCCGTGCTTCTTAGCTCATAGGTACTCTCCTTAAGTTGCACTTGTGCTAAAATCCCTGTAAGACTCCAAGGTCTTTTCAGTTTCTTGTTAATATTTAATAGTGTAAATTACCCCAACCTCCCTTGTGGCTTAACTTTGCACCTTTGGGCTAAACTTTTGTGAAAATAATTCTGATGCCCCTGCTTAACCCTAAGATAAAACATTGTTACATATTCTTTTACTATTATAATAAAAAATACCAAAAGCTAGTAATAATACGATTACCATATTGTCCTATCTCAAGGTCCATATTCTTTTTTCGTTTTCTATTTTCTTGTTGGTACTGTAAAGCAGTTCCCCCTCAAAGCTATAAATTAAAGCATCATTAAGGCTTAATTGTGGGGTGGTGTGTACTCTAAATAACTTACATAAAACATATTAGCTATTGTATAAATTTATCTTTTACAATTGGACATCCTATACTATATGTATTTTTATCAATTTCTAGATGCAAGGAATGTATGGCTTATTGGCGAAACTCCTCACTCTTGTTTTTCTGTTGCAAAGATTGTTGATGTTTATATCAAATCTCATGCACAAGGCAATGCAGCCACGATGTAGGCTTTTGATATTCTTATGTGTGTGCATGTGCATAAATTGCTTCTACTGAATTATGCTAGATTGCTTCTACTGACATATGCATAATCTAGTTGGATAAAAAAAATATGTTGTAGTACTAGGTTTGATCACTGAAATATTCTCTCCTTTTTCTGTTGTAATGGCTAAATTTGTTCACATGATTTGTGCAGTTTAACAACTTTGCCTCCTGCATTGGGTACTGTAAGTTGTCTGAAACAACTTCATATTGCCCACAACAAGCTGACATGCCTCCCAGAAGAAATAGGACTTCTAACTCAGCTTCAAATTCTGAAAGCAAACAATAATAGGTAACATGTATGGGTAGAATGTAATTACTCTATGATAGGCGTATGATTTCTCTTACTTATTGGGCTTTATTCCTTGTTTCATTTCTCAATTGCCTAACTGTTCTTTCAATTGGCATAAATTCTGGTATTATTTGGGTAACTTTTGTGTGTGTGTGTGTGTGTGTGTGTGTTTGTATCATGACATGGAAGCACCAATAATTGCAGGTATAGTACATTCATTCATGTTTGATTGGCATTTTAAGACGCATATAGATGTTCTTAGATTTTTCTAAGTGCTGCAAGTATGAAACGCAATGACCTTTTAGTTTCTTTTTTCCATGTTTGATGATGATATACCATGGGAACTAGTTCCATAACAGTTATCCCAATGTTTCTTTTTGGTAAATTGCAAAAAAGCCCTCAAACTATTAAATTTTTGCAAGAATTCCTCTCGAACTACAGAAACCCTTGAACTATTAAAAAATGTTGCAAATACTCCCTTGCTGTGTTTTGACCATTAGCAAATAAACAGAAGACATAGCATGTGCAATGCATCTGATAGTATTAAAAGTGAAATCACAGAATTACCTTTTATTGGCAAAAATGTCCTTGAAGCAAAAGACAATGAAGGTTTGCATGCTTGGATCCATATGATGAGCCGTTTGAAATATGGGTGTAAAAGATCAGTTTTTCCTTTTTTACCCAAGAACCATACAAACGTCCCTTCTTCATCATCATTGGTTCCCTCAGCGGCCATTGCTGGCGTCTCTATCACCATCACTGATATCTCTCTTTAATAGATTGAGATCTACCTATGTAAAGAATTCCAAGCCCACAAGCTCTCTCTAGCACGCTTCTCTATCTGAACCCTTCTCCTTCACTCTTTATATCGCCATCACCATGGTATTGTTAGAAAGGGAAAATTTAAATAAATAAGAAGAATATATTATGGGGATCTTTTTGTTATAAAAGGGAATAATCGTCATCCATCCACTGATCGTGTCATGGAAATCATAGGAAATTTGTGTGAGAACATAGGCTAGAAAAAGAGAGAATGTGAGGGACCCAGTTGACCCGACTAAGTTGTTAGTCATGGCTGGTCTCCTATTCCCTTGGAATTTTTGTGTACCAACTGATAAGATTCTTGAGAATTAACTCAATACTAGAATAAGGTATTTGAGTTTAACAATAACAATATCGTTGTATATATAAATATGTATAGATTGTGTAGGTGCATATATATTTATATGTGTCTGTATAGGACACACTATAATTGGCCACGGGCACTTGTATCTTCTTCATTCAGTGACGCAACCCATATTAGTTTTTCCAATATCACTGTTTTGAAAGAGTAAGGGCCCGTTTACCAACAGGAAGTGATTCCTAGTTTTACTTTCACTAAAAGCAAAATTATGATTTTGATTTCTTAGAATGAAATAAAAAGTAGAATCATGTTCAATAATGTCTCCTATTTTCAATATTTTGAAAGCAGGATAACAGAAAACAAGTTTAATAATTATGATTTTGATTTTGTTTTCTAAATTGGCAGTCAATTTCTAATAGCAACAAATTGTGTAAATCCAACAAAAGAGTGAAGAAAAAGGACTACACAACTGATTATGAATAATAAATAAATTTTTTTGGTTCCCAGTTCCTAGCCATTTTGCTCAACTACATTTCTTGAGTTCTTGCATCCCACCACTGATGTCAATATATGGATATTCATGTGTGTGTGTGTGTGTGTGTGTGTGTGTGTGTGTAGCTGTGTAAGGATTTAAGATGGTTATTGATTGGATTATTGATTGATTAATTGATCAGACAACTAAATCTACTAAGGAATATCCATTCTAAATCATCCATTTGAACCACTTGTTTTATTTATTTGGAGCATCATAAGATCCATATATATATATATATATATTTCAGAAACATACAGCATGGTTAATCCAGTAATTATAAGATCCAAGACATGATCAGAAGCACATCTCACAAACAAACCCCCAATGCTATAAATATGTACAAGATTCAAAGAAATCTCGAAGAAAAAAAAATTTGACAAGAAAGAGACGATTTAAAGATTTCAAATAAATTTACATATGAGAAGAAAGAGTGAGAGACATTAGGAAGAGAGAGAGAGAGAGAGAACTTTACATCTCTAAGAGGAGAGAGAAAGAGGGATGAAGACGAAAAATTTTCAGAACTGAAATTAACCATAGGAGCAGTTCGATCTGGTGGTAGCTGGTGTTGTAACTGTCATCGTGGATCTGGTGGTTGCCGGTGGTGTTGCTGATGATTTGTTGTCTCAAGCAAGGTGGTCAGTCTGTTGGAGGGGGAGGAGAGGGTTTTGCATATATGATAATTCTCAATGTTATAAACGACAAGTGTAGCGTTAGTTTTTAAGAGCTCCATTCTGCTACAGTATCCAAAAGCAATTTCCCGCTACAGTGAGAAAACACAGAAAGTAACAAAATCTCACTTTCCTTTTCCTTCTTTAAATGTGAAAGTACTTTCTAAAAGCTGAAAAGTAAAATTATATTAGTAAACATGATTCATACTTTTATTTTACTTAGGAATTGACAATAGAACAGGAATTACTTCCTGTTAGTGAACAGGTCCTAAGTATTTCTCTAGAGAGAGGGGGTAGTATGCCAGTTAGTAGAAGATGGAATGCTCGTTCCTGGGACTCAACATGCTCAAGAATTATGTGGATGAAGGTGGAGATATAAAAAATATTAGAAACCCGTCAAAACAACGTCGTACTGGGTTATGTAATTAGCTAACAACCAGTAAGACATAGTATTGATTTTGGGCATTTTAGACATTTGACAATTTCCTTTCACTTTTTTCTTTAAATATTGAGTGGCAGACTGGCAGTTTAGTTATTTAACATCCAACTGATGGCAATCAGACGGTAGATTGCCGGTTTGTCCTTATTTGCAAGATTTTGATAGATGAGGTTTTTTTTCCCCCCATTGACACGGGGCATTTGCAAAATTTTGATGCTTCGAGGGTTTCTTTTTGCAATTTACCCTTTTTTGAACTTGCAATTGATGTTTTTCTTTCTCTGTACAGGATAAGCACCATTCCCACATGTATAGGAAGCTGTTCTTCTCTTATCGAGGTAGGATTCTGGGTCTTTTGTCAAAAAAATAATTATTGTAATCTTTGAAGTATGAACTGAATGATCCATATATTGCTGTCCAGATTAGAGGAACTAAGTTTTTTTTCTCTGTTCTAATAATATGCTTGAAATCGTTTTTTTTTTGGTTGTTGTGGTGTTGCAGGTTGATATTTCATCGAACCTTCTCGCAGAGTTGCCAGAGACAATTGGCAATTTAAAAGATTTGAGGGTTCATCTTCTTTCCCTTGCTATAGTGGTTTCTTCTTCTCTCTCAAATTTATTATTTTCCTTATTTTGACCTCTACTACTCTTGGCCCCAACAACCAATCAAAATGTCAAACAGCTCTCTTAGCTGGCTGCACTTTTCTATAGGTTGTACAGTTGACTCACTTCTACCTGATTATCATGTAAACCAATTTTTCTTTTTTCTTCTTCTAAATCAAAGACGAGGAAGAGGGGCATATTTTCTATTTGTGTTTTGGTGTCAGATGAAGCCAGTGGAAAAAAGCATGAGAACCCACAAATGTCAATACCGTCTTAAAAGGAAAGAAGCATATATATTGGCTATGCTGTCAAAGAATCTCACATTAGTGGACGCTACTTATCCCAAATTTTTAGTTGAAAACAGTAGAATAGAAACTTGTCTTTAAACACCATTACTTCTAATAATAATACATTTAGGATGATGATTTCCTGCGCCCAGGTTGCAGGATTTTCCTGCATCTCATGATGTGGTGCATTAATTTCAGTCTACATTTCCGGAAGTCATACTCTATACATATGATATCTACCCTCTATTAAGGACAATTATTTATTTTCTCAAATTTGAAAATATGGAATTTGTGAAAAAAAGCTTTCCTGCAGGGAAAATAACTGTACAATTTTAGGGCTTGGCTTCAATAGGTCATTTATATGTTCGTTCTCTTTCTTGCTTCTCTAAGTCATAAGATGCTAGATCTGGAAGTACCCAATAGTTGAGCTTCTCTCCATTTTTTGCATCCTGTGCAAAAACTTAAGGTTTTGTTATGTTCTCTTTTTGTTTTCTTCTTTTATTGCGACAGAGTTAGAGCTATGTTCTGTGTTTTGCCTGAATGTCATTTTCTCATCCATTTTATTTATTTATTATCTGGTACCAACTTCTCTCATTAGATTATTAAAATTTCATTCATTTCTCTAAACCAACGTATTTTGTGACGTTTCTACATAGGATTTCTGAAACAAGAAGAAAAATAATTTACAAGGGAAAAGGCTTAATTAAATCAAGGGGAGCTGTTGTTGCACTTTTAGCTTCTTTTCTTCCAGGCCATAGATTTTAATATAATTGCTTTAAGATTGTTAGGATATTATCAATGGCGTATTTTGTGATAAAGAGAACATAGATTTTAAGATTGTTAGGAACTTAAGGTTTTGTTATGTTCTCTTTTTGTTTTCTTCTTTTATTGCGGCAGAGTTAGAGCTATGTTCTGTGTTTTGCCGGAATGTCATTTTCTCATCCATTTTATTTATTTATTATCTGGTACCAACTTCTCTCATTAGATTATTAAAATTTCATTCATTTCTCTAAACCAACGTATTTTGTGACGTTTCTACATAGGATTTCTGAAACAAGAAGAAAAATAAATTACAAGGGAAAAGGCTTAATTAAATCAAGGGGAGCTGTTGTTGCACTTTTAGCTTCTTTTCTTCCAGGCCATAGATTTTAATATAATTGCTTTAAGATTGTTAGGATATTATCAATGGCGTATTTTGTGAGCAGAATGCAAATTAGGTTGTTTGGGTTGAGTTATGGGATGGACAACAAAAAAGATTCCTGCTGCTCTACTGCCCTTTATTTACCGTTGTGCAGGCATTGTATCTCAGTAACAATGGGCTCAAAACTCTTCCTTCTACGCTATTCAAGATGTGCACCCAGCTCTCAACCGTGGATTTCCACAGCACTGAAATCACAATGGACCTTCTCCGCCAGGTATGTACTAATCATCCCACATCCATTGACTCATTCAAATTTGATATGTTTTTATTTGAATATAGTTTTTATTTTTATTTTTATTTATAAGTAAATCTAAGATCACAACATCCTTATATTGACAGTTTGAAGGGTGGGAAGAGTTTGATAAACGTCGCCTTTCAAAACATCAGAAGCAACTGGATTTCAGAGTTGAGGGCGATGCCGCATTTGATGAAGGAGCTGATAAAAGGTGACAGTTACAGATACTAGTTGAACAAATTATTGGTGCAAACTTGTGTAACACTTGTTCTGCATTTTTCTGATGAACCAAGTAAATTGTCTTCGGGTAGCACCCATCATTTTAAAACTACAGTCAATTGAGGAAACTGGTTTACAGAATGTATTCCAATAGTATCATCTGCATTTGGAATTAATTCAAGTGGTGGGACGTTTTTACTGCTTACTAAAGAGGTGCAACGCAACAGACGCATATAATTAACACTGATATTTTTTTCTTTTTGTGGGTGTGTTTTTTCACTATCGTCTCCTTTTCTCAACACCTCCTGTAGTGCAGTTTCAGCTCAAGAATTGATCTCGTTGGTTTCCCTACCTTTAGGATTCATACATCCGCTGGTAAAAGTTGATGCATGCAGCATGGTTGATGTTGAGCACGAGAAGCTTGAGAGAAGAACATGACCTATAATTCCCTTTTCTGCATAAATTGAGAGTTAAATTTTTGTGTCCACCGCATGTTACCCTCCCAACCTCATTCTTAGAGCTTCTAGGCGTGTGTAACAGGGGTCATTTTGTCCCACATCGGAATCGGATGGGAAAGAGATTGGGTATAAATGGGTGGGTATGCAGCCTTACATAACAGTTCGAGCTTTTGGGTAAATGGGCGAGCGCCCACCCGTTACAGTTGATATCAGAGCCAAACCCAGTCCTTGATCCGGTGCCACGCCAAGCGTCCGGGTGAGTCCACCCGGGTAGGTAGGGTGGCCCAACCGCAACGAGGGCGTTGCGAGTTTGGGTGGGGGAGAATGTAATAAGGGTCATTTTGTCCCACATCGGAATCGGATGGGAAAGAGATTGGGTATAAATGAGTGGGTATGCAGCCTTACCTAACAGTTCGAGCTTTTGGGTAAATGGGCGAGCGCCCACCTGTTACAGACCCTTAGTTGCCAGCGTAAAGCTTTTCCGCTTGCCTGTATGTTACTGGTTCCATTTAAACGCTTTAGCAACCGTTAGAATTTACACGAGAGGAGTCGCGTTAGTTTCTGGAGTTGGAATGCTCTTCCAAGTGCAAGATTTGATCAATGTAGTTGTAACCTTTCTATGCAATGAGAAATGTTAGTTTCTGGAGTTGGAATGCTCTTCCAAGTGCAAGATTTGATCAATGTAGTTGTAACCTTTCTATGCAATGAGAAATGTATAGACAACAATAATGCTTGCTCTAACAAGGTTTTTGGTTTCCAGGGGCATAGACCAGGCAAGCTCCTCACAAATGGCACGAAATGTTCTGTTTTTATTTTTAATTTTCTTTTTCTTCACTTTCGAGCGGTGGATGTTCAATCAGAGCGGTCTCATAAGTCAGTTGTTTTTTTAATAAGCAATAATAGTGATTGAGAATAAAATTATTGATTGATGTAATTAAGACAACTGTTTCCGTTTTGCGTTTTTGTTTTTCATTCGGAACAGAACATCATTTTTGATGTGGGGTGTGTTCAATAATGATTGAAAGCATGTTTGATGACGGAAAATTTGTTGCAAGTTTTTTGAAGCAAAAGCATGAATGCATTTTTGGTAAAAAATGTGTTGCAAGATTGAAAAACAAAATATCAAGTTAAAAAAGGCCTTTTAGAGTTTTTTTTTTTTTTTTTTTTCAAAATATCAAGTTAAAAAAGACCTTTTTAGAGTGTGTTTTTTATCCTCCCTCTTCAGTATTGTTCAACGAGGCAGTGTCAAAACATTATGAATTTTAAATTTGGGCCTCTTTTTACCAACAAATGTCTTAATATTCAAATTGTAATAGAAGTTATCAAACACTTTTCAATGTTTTGCTTTTGCTATTACGAAATAAGTGGTTGTCAAACATGCCCTTAGAAATTTTAATTTTTGTAACTCCATGTGTTCATAAAATATAACGCGTTTTGGACCATATTTAGTTATGAATATTTTAAATTTGATGAGACAAGTGAATTACTGGAGGGTCAATTTTTGATGAAGTGACCCAATCCTAAACGAAAGAGGTACACCACACTAGCTGAAAATCAAGAAATTATTACATGCTTTGATGAAGTGACCCAATCCTAAACGAAAGAGGTACACCACACTAGCTGAAAATCAAGAAATTATTACATGCTTCAGGACTATGGACTATGTTGTCCTGACCAATCAGAAGTTGTCATGCAAGAAAAAAATTGAATAAAGCTAACACATTTGCTTGCGTGACAACTTCTAATTGGTCTTGTATTTCGGAAGAAAGGGCAATAAGCTGTTGATAGTTTTCTTCATGCCTGCCATCAGCTGTTCAACAAGGTGAATATTTGTTCACAAGGTTGCAAATATACGTCTTCTTTCACCTTGGCTTGACCCCAGATTTGGTAAGAAATTCAAAGGGCCTCCGGAAACCAAAGCTATCAGAGAAGTTAAGTTTGGCATACTTCGTGATAATTCACCGGGTAAAAGGACGACGAGCTGGTTTCACTTGGCTGCTGTAAGTTGACATTTTGAATGATCACACTAAAAATGCTATGTTTAGCACCAGAGAGCTAAATGCCCAGCATGACTGTGAAACTTCTTGCAATAAGATTTGACAATTCAAGCCAAGATGAGATACAAATAATATACCATCTACAAGTTCCACACACAGTTGTTTAAACATGGTACTTTTATCAAACAAGGTAGTATATGCTTAATGCAACAATAGAAATCTGCATGTACTCGAAAGCATTGTAATGAAATAGAAATACGACATCTATGAAATGTAATATTGATATGAAAAATATCCATTTGTGTGGCTCATAATGGACCGAACAGCATAATCAAAAGACCATGCAAACGAAGTGTTACTGTCGTAAAGCCTCTGTTAACAAAGCTATAAAGATGCTCCATAAAAGCTAACGGAAGTAAATGGACATCTGAGGTATGTCAATGTCATTATCTTCATCATCCTCACATGCCACAACAAGATCCAAGTGGTGACGGTATGGTGGCAGTTCAACCTTTGCCACTTCCCTAGCCAAATCAACCACCTTCTTGTCCATCCGATCTTTGTGCCGAGGGAACATGCTATTGTAGAGCAGGCAACTTCCGCATGAAATACTATAGGCATTTAACCCCTTCTTTTGAAGCCATTGGAGAAGATCCCTCAATGTAGGATTGTCTTTAACAATCCATCTATCCCACACAGTCCAGCTCATATCCCGGTGCTTGATAATTTTGGGTGGAACAGGCTCAGCCATCGAGAACAGAGGAAGTGCTAGGTTGGCAAATGTGTTTCGGTAGTCCTCCAGTTTGTGACCCCCATTCAGAACCTTGTACAACTCCAGGCAGACCAGACCTGTGGCCATTGCTGTAGCTGTTGCAATGGCAGGGATAATCCTTCCAGCAATAAATTTGGCTTTCAGCTTATCTACTTCAGGAATACTATAATTCCTGGCCCTCATGTTAGCAAGCCCAGCTATCAGGTCCATATGATAGTTTGTATCGTCATCCTGCACATTCAGTTGACAGAGTTAATAAAACTCGTGTGTACAATTAGGATTTCAATGTCAAAGGAACTCCTATTCTTAGTTTTTTAAATCGAGAAACCAAGTAAATATCATGACACATGGGAATTCCTCAATTATCCTATTTGTTGATTCAGTCAGCAAACTAAATCTTTTCCAACTAAACAAACTGCAAACCCAAGGGGGTAGCCTAATGGCAAAAACTCTCACCCCACTTCTTGGAGACTGGGAGTTTGAATCTTCTCGGGGCTACCCCAGAGAATTTCCCGGTGCATGTGGGATGGGAGGTGCCCGGTGGCAGATTATGGGGTGCTCTAAAAGGCCCGACACAACCACAGTTGACCAGAAGGAAAAAAAAAAAAAAAACACTACTGCCTATAAAGCATGGAACAAAAACGAAGTAGACCATCAACCAATATAGCATGAAGGGTTTGATGGTCCAAAGGGTCTATATACTAGAGATTTTAAAAGAGATGATAAGAGAGTAACCTTCTCAAACTGAATTGGCTTCATCATGAACCCTGACGGCAGATTCTTCCGACACTGCTCTAGCTTCATGATAAGTTCTTTGATGACTGCTGCATCATCTATAGATGCAGCCGAAAGGCTGGTAGCCTTTTCGTCAGTCACAATTTTAACGCCTTCCCTTGGTTGGAATTCAGGGACCATCACTTTATCGACAGCTTCAGCCCACATCTTAGGGTTCTTGGCCCAGTCAGGAATTGGGATGCCAAATGTCTCTGCCCGAAGTATGGAACCTGCCATAATACAATGGAGATGACTGGAATCACCTGTAGTGAATTGCAATGGACGGGGGAAGCGTTTGGGGGCTGACCAAAATGGAGCCCCAGTACTGGTCGCAGCATCTTCAGGAAAAGTAAATATCAACTGCTTCACACGGTTGGCAAAGTAGTCTTCAAACCTGATGCAAAATATAAACTATGTCAGTCAATCATGCAAATTGAAGAACAAATACAAAATATGATCAATCAAGGAAAGTACCTTATACGGGCCCAGGTAATGCAGTCCTGGAATGTTTCACATCTTTCTTTGTCGAGGCACTCAATAACACGTTCCAAATTTTCCCTGGCCTGAGCATCACCCGCATTCCTCATCGCAGATGTATATTCACTTGGATTGGAAAGATATGCATTCACTTCAGCTGGTACTTTTTCAAGCAAGCCCTCAAATTCTGATCGAGCCCATGTCAAGCAGTGGTCAATGTTGTGGGGAAATGAGTGCACAGTGCACATGGGTGCTTGTTTCTCTGGCGGATCTCTTGAGGCACCATAGTTCTCCGTCAGGTGAGGAATGACCATTTGAGTGTTGCACTTGGCACCAAGGGTTCCTGACTCAAGAAGTGGCTTCTGGAAATACAAGCATCTCTGATCAACATACAGCCTGGCATTGACATTGTCCAGGGCATTTATAACAACACCAAGATTCTCCCAGAAGGCATCATCAAACACATTTTCAGTTTCAGGGCCAACACGATTTTGCAAAGCTTCGATATGGAGACGAGAATTTATAGCTGTAGCAGCAGAAGCAGCAACCGTGGATTTGGCCTGCCCAATGTTCCAATCACGAAAGAGGAACTGCCTACTGAGGTTGCTCTTTTCAATAACATCATCATCAGTGATTGTTAGCTTCCCCTGGCCATTGCATGAAACTCCCATCAAAGCTAAATTCTTCAAGAACTCACAACCTAGTGCACCAGAACCAACAACAAACACTTGAGCATCCTCCAGTTTCTTCTGGAGTTGGGACCCAAAAACTGAAATCTGTGCATCATAGCGGCTATTCAATGGTCTGAACTCATTGGGTTCCAGTGGTTCCGTAGGAAGTGACTCGATTGAGTCAAAGTAGAAGAACTGCAAAAACATGGACGAAAATAATATTAAGTTGCCATCACAAGCAATCAAATTGAACCAGCTAAGAGGCTCCTCCTTCAGGACAGTAGGAACCTATTACCCAGAAAATGGTTAATTTTATGCAATGAAGAGGAGGCATATAATCTAGGCCAAATCATAATACTAAAATTTCCAACTACGAAACAAACAATCTAATCTAACAAAATACGAGGACAGTAGGATACTGATTTCCTGGGAAATGGTTAATTTTATGCAATGAAAAGAAGAAATTATTAATCTAGGCCAAAATCACAAGAGTAGTAAAATTTCCAACTATGAACCAAACAATTTATTAAAATATGTCGATAACCTGAAAGAGTGGATGGAACTTTCCAGAGCATGCCTTCATAACCTCCTGCCCTACAATACCACCGAACATTGCAGCCATGGGATTCAGAACTGCCCGGGAACCAAAGGCAAAGTGCCGCAAAAGTTTGGGGTTTATATCTTCCAGTTTGCCATCTCCCAAGCTCTCATTAAAGTTACTTGCTATAGATATCAACTTCTGAGCATCATCTTCAGAACCAGCAACAGGGAAGCGTCCCAATTCAGATATAAACTTATCCAATGCTTGGAATGCCACATGCAAGAGAGGTGGCCGGTCAAACTTGGAGAAATCACTAAGAAGAAAGTCGCCAGGATCACTGAGTGCTTCTCTCAATGGCTTAAAGTTCAAAATTTTGGGTTGTTTAACCTGTGTGACAATACCACCTTTCTCATACATGCCAAATTTTGTGGTGTCCTCATCAAGAGTGAAAGAGTAGGGCCTTGCACTAACTATCTTTCTTGGTTTTCCATCATTAAGTTCTGTCATTCCATGGATTTCGGAGAACACGACAAGATCCCCATCCTGAAACTCCAGCCTTTCATCATCAACGGCGGATACAAGAGCAGGGTTGTCATTACTGACAGACGCGATAATACCCGTGTGTGGTTCCTCACCATCAACATCAAATACCGTAAACTCAGGGCCAAAATCACAGAACACACTACCAAAAAGGCCTCTAACTTCAGTCTTGATGAATGCAATAGGAGGCTGATGACTATGACAGTAATCATTGAACTCAATGGCTCTCTCTAAGTTGATATCAGTAAAAACCACAGCCTAAAAAAAAGAAATTACAGTAGGTTCATACTTTAGTGATATACAAGCCGACAAGTAAATAATTGCATGCAGCAAAAACAAAAAACATATATAAATACACACACACACACACACACACACACACACACACACACACACACATACAAGAGAGTGATACCAAAAAAAGAAAGAAATAGAAAAAAGAACACACACACGAGCGAGCAACTCAACTAGAATGGTAATTTTGCATAAACAGTATGAATAACTTTTGGAACTTATTAATGCACGTAATTTGCTACTCGTGTTCGTACAAGAAAACCTACAATAGCATACAGCATGGACGCAGGAAACAGCAATCCCTCGCTTAAACTAATAAATATGATTAATTCAAGGAATAACCAATTTTAAGATGCACATAATCTTCAAAGCAAGGTTCAAGCAGGGGATTCTATATCTGCAAACAATACATAGTAATCATCAATCATCTCAGATGGTAACAATAACCAATTGGTTGAGAAAACAAGTAGCCGGTTCATGCCAGGACCAAATTCTGATAGCCGTAGTGACAAATGTAGATATTAATAATAATAAATCACGTAAAAGAATCTACAATATTTTGATACCAATATCTGCTGCAAAGAAGGCAGTGGCAATTTGCTAGAAGAAGTTTTGGACTCATGGCAATGCATAAGAGGATTGAGTTGTTATAAGGGGAAAAAAAATCAAATCTTTCACATTGTTCAATAAATTAATGAACCCGATAACGGATGGCTATCACATTGAGATCGGGGCTTTTTGGGTTCTTTGGGTCCATAGGTCTTTCCCACTTTCTTTTTTCTGGTTTTTGTACAGCTCTTGGGACGAGTTCCCCTTTTGAACGCTTTCTAATACATTTTTACATATCAAAAAATATATATATTTGAGATCGGGGCCACACTACTACAGCCAACTTCGCCATCTCAGGAGCTTGTTAACATACAATAACCATTACTAATTATGAGAGCAAACTAGTCAACCACCAAAAATTTGAAGTCAGATATAGACAAACTGATGTGCAAGAGACCACCAGAATTGTTCTCAAAAAGGGAATACTACTTCAATTGAGTCAAGTATCATCAAGTACCAAGACCTAAGAATAACCACTTATATGAGACAATGTAATTTTGAGAGACAGCAAAGATCTATTTCAGAATTAAAAGATAAGGAGCAAAATCAATGTCATAAAGAAACAAACAGATGTCTAGAAAACAAGCAAACCAAGACATGAGAAATCAAATCACAAAGAATTTTTTTGAAGAAGAGCAATCAAGACAGTTTTGGATACCATAGTCACACTTTGATTCGAGGGAAAGAAAAAAAAACACACACACGAAGCAAAATATTAAACGGAACCAGTATACGTAGGACACCACTAATTCCTGATACACAAGACACGTCACTTAATACTGCTTTGGCTCCTTCCTGTTGCAAAGTAAACCACTTCCAAAGAAAATAAATGACAAAACAGTGTCTTCAAACAATAACATTGTAATGAACAAACTTCTCTTCGTACTGGACAACGGTGAAAAAGCATTGTTTGACATTTGGGAAAGAACACACCATCCTCTTAACAATAAGATGACATGGTTTGAATCAAACATCATTTTGCCAAAAAAAAAAAGTGATTTCCAAAGGAAATAAGGGTTTTTCTTCTTTTTTTTCCCAAACAGGAGCACAAACAATAGCTTCAGCCCAAAAATAGGGGCCTTAATCCTCATTCATCATGATCCTCCCCTTCATCCCATATGAAGGTTGGCCAAATGAATTCTCTTTTACTTTTCTTTTTTCTGTTACAAGTCATTTCTCCTATCATATATAAATATATTTTAGAATCATTTCTAGTTACTTCACCCCGTGTTATTTGGTGCTATTAGTCTCTAACCTCCTATACATTTAATCTCCATTTCTAATTGGTGAATCCATGGATCTATGTAGTATTTTTTTCCAAGAAAATTAAGTAGTATATTTCCATAATCACCAAAACCTACTCTCTTAATTTACCACTGATAGACGCTTCTACTAATTTGTCACACATTGATTATTAATACCAATATTTTCTAGCCATTCATATCATCCATCTCAACATTTTCATTCCAGATACATGATTGTGATGTCCTTGTTTATCCCTTAATGCCCAACACCCAACTCCATATAACAGGTGGCCAAAAGATAGTTCTGTAGAAATTTTCATTCAAGTTTTGCTTTTATTTTATCACATTAAATGCCTCCATTTTGTCGAATCCATTCCAATCCTACTAATTATTACATCACCAATTTGTCCATCATTTTTTTATTCTAAAAATCAAAAACAGTTATTTTGAGTAATCCATAGGTCTTGCACTGTCACAGTCATATATATCATATAAATAACATTCCATATATTTTATTTTAGTCATACTAATTTTAAACCCCTGAGAGAAAAACAGATATAAATTACTAAAATCAATATATTATTCACGATCAAAGACTGAATTGAATAGTTTAGACACTTAAGAACCTTTATATAGACAAAATCAGAAACAAACCATAAGAAAATAAAAAATGCAAAAATAACCCTACAAACTAAACATTACCAGTGAATTAAAAGTTATAACTCTAATTTAATAAATCTGTAATTTTATCAATCTTTACTCCTTCCCTAAAAAGTAAAGTGAGTCGCGTACAACTGATGTGTGCAAGTCATAACACGATCTCCATCAGCTTTTGCCCCTGATGTATATTTTCATTCTTCAAAATCTATTGCTAAGGTTTTCTTAGATATATTTAAAAGTACTATGTCATAGGGCTACAACATTTAACCTGAATTTATTATTTAATATACGGGCTTAATACCGATCTTTGGTGTAATCTTATTTGTATAAGAAATCACAGGTACGGAGTCTCTGGTGATTGAAACAACCAAGATTTTACCATGACTAAAATTTTTGAGAGACATGAAAGAGAGTGCCTATGGGGTCGCTTCTGTAACTGGATAACCAGCCCGGCCACACATACAATAAGAACTCTAGCTTTTGTATCATCATACATATCCTAAATATTTTTTGTGAGTTTTATAGGAATTTATTTTCTTTGTGAGGCCCACAAAATTTTCAGTTATCTATCACATCTTCTCTAACTATACGAAAACCATGGATTTTGTTTACTTCTTCACTATTCTAATAGTTCTCTTAAGTAAATAGCTCCATGGTAGATCTTCTTGGCATAAATTGAGATCGGATATCAGCACACTGGATTATCTTTGATCTTTGTCCATAGTTTCATTATATAACTTATGAATTTAATTACTAGATAATCACCATAATTTTTTTTGTCACCTTTTACTTTTCTAAATTGGTACCATAAAACTTCTTCATTTATTTTCATCATACCTCCAGTTAGAATTTTACTGAATAAATAGGTTAGTCATTCAACTCATTCACATCTTCTAAAGATTTCAATGCCTCTATATGAATGTTACCATGTTTTATCGCTTTATTATTCACCATCTTTTTATGTTTATCCTCTACTTCTCTATTATTTATTTATCTATCATTCAAATGTTAGGTTCACTACTCTTTAACTTTTTTCTTTATGATATTCCTAATTCAATAATTGTTGAAGACGATTTTTCCACATATTCAACTCATTAACTAATAGCGTCTGAGTTGTGTTTTTTCCCCCTTCCTACTAATTTTTCCCTTTCCTTTCTCTCCTTTTATCCTAATGCATTATTAAAATGAGAGCATGGGAGAATATAGGGGATAAAAGAGAATAGGAGAGAAAAAAAGATGAGGGAAGTAGAAAGGAAAAAACTTCAAAAATTCATCCATTTGGTTATCCAGAACTAATAGAAAGTTTTAAAAAAGGGAAAAAAAAGGTACAAAATCGGAGGGTTGAGGGATTTGTCGACCTCTAAAATAATAATCTTGCAATGATTCAAATCTCGGTGGATTTTTAGAAAGGATGGGGGTAATGAATATTACCTGTATTGCCCTATCTTTCATAACAAGATGATTCCAATTTCGTCATTTTCACTCATCCTTTTCATATCCCTAGTCAGCCTATCACTACCTTTGGTTACTTGTAAATCAGTTTTTCACCCTCTTTTTACCTAATTATTTATGCAAATCAATTATTATTACTTTGTGTAATTTCAATCACACTCATAAAATTAGATACACAAAAACTAATCCAAGATAGTGCAATCTAAAAAAAAATCACCCATAAAATTTTGTAGATTTAGTTCAAGAGAAATGTAACCATATATATGTTAAATATTCATCTAAAACTATTTGGGGACCGTGGGAGGGCCAACCTTGTTGACATCTAAAGGGACTTGATCTCAAACTACCTTTTGCTACTTGTAAATCGGTTTTTCACCCTCTCTTTAAACTAATTTTTTATGCAAATCAATTATTATTACTCTCTCTGTAATTTCAATCAAACTCATAAAATTAGATACACAAAGACTAATCCAAGGCAGTGCAATCCAAAAGCACGACCCATAAATTTTGTAGATTTAGTTCAAGAGATAAGTAACCATATATATGTTATAGATGTATATTATGAATTAGATAAAAAAAAATAATTAAAATAAAATAAAAAAATAAATGAGGAAGTAATCTATTTGGGATTGTGGGAGGGCCAACCTTGTTGACATATAAAGGGACTTGATCTCGAGCTTCATATGCATGATCAAGTGTGTCTAATCTTACTTGCATTATATAATACATTACAAGCAACGTGGCATCTCATCAGCTTCTCTCCATTTCACACATTCGAACCACACACATACATACTTGGAAATAGATACAGAATTATATATATATATATATAGAGAGAGAGAGAGAGAATGATGGGGTGGGGTGGGGTGGGGTTAATATACCAGCAATTGTTATGGGTTCTTTGACTGTAATTGCTTCTTGCCTTACCCTCTTGGTACCCTCAAGTTATTAGAAGACACAAATATGTTAATGACTTGGTTTTGTATTATTATTTATTGCAAATATTCGATCAAAATCAACAGTCATAGAGGTTGGCTTCAACTTGATTATTGACTCTAGTTACCCAACCACCCTCCACTGGCCCAAGTCACAATGAGGAGCTCATGGTATTATGAAATATGAATACAAAAACCAATGAAGCTATCCAGAGAACAATGACAATTTTTGTATATAAAGGCCAGTATACATCTATTATTATCAAGGATTGTGCTCCTCACTCAAGTATGTCGCTTGATATTGAAAGATATGAATGACATGTCATTGACTATTTAAAGGTCCCAATCAGATCAACTGGCTTTCAATATTTCAAGAGATAACCCTCATCACCGATCTATCAGAAACTAAATGAACATTGAAGGAACAAAGATAGGTAATAAACTCAAAAATGAAAACTAAGCAAGCAATTCACTAAACATAAAGAGAATAAAACACCTGGAAACCAGAAAGCTGTTCTTTGGTCGATATTGTAGGTAAGGTAGAAATGACCACAGCATTGTTAAGCTCTTGAAGCTTTTGGACAGAAGCAAGTGCCCTGTTCTTTCCAACATCACTCTCTGAGAAGAGGAAATTGCTGGACAAATCCATCAACTCCACTTTTCCTTCATCATGCAATGTAACGGACTTGACACCAGCAAGCACGAGGTTCTTTGCTGCAAGTTGTTCCAAAACAAAAACATCAAACTAGCCAGCCTACAAAAATCTAAGTTCAACAGGATCTATCAGAAAACTCTTGACAATGAAATACAAATCCACAAGCTCTTAGGATTCGGGAACATAACAAAAGCAAGCAAGCAAGCAAGCAAGCAATCTAGCAAGCCTACAAAATTCTAAGTTCAACAGGATCTATCAGAAAACTCTTAGCAACAAAATACAAATCCACAAGCTCTGAGGATTCGGGACCATAACAAAAACAAGCAATCTAGCAATATTCAACAGCAAAGAAACATAAGAGTAAAAAGTAACTCCAATATTTTAAAAAATAAAATACAAAAATGCACAGATTTAGACTCAGAACTGTGTCATCTCTGCAATAGTCTTCTAGGTTTTTTTTTTCATGGTGTTAGATTCACAACTGACACAATATAACTAAAATTTAATCTACTATCAAGCTCGCGTAATTAAGCGTAGATCATACACTAAAATTACAAAGAATAACTGCAGAGGTTAACTAGCTGATCTTCATACCGATTTCGGCGCCAAGACCTTGCATCCCTGAGATAAGAATGTTTGATGCGAAAAGCCGCCTCATCGTCTCACGGCCGTAGACCGCAAGCTGCCGGCTGTGCAGATCCTCATCGATGTCCTGCGGATTGCCGTCCTCGAAAGGCACGCTACTGCCGCCGGTGTGATTAGTGGTGTTGCTGTTACCGATGATGCTGCCACTGCTGTTATTGACTTCGCCGCTCTTCTTGTTGTCGTTGGCCATGGTGGTGGTTTTGGCGGATGAAGCAATCAAACAACCGGATCGATGTTTCTTGAAGAAGTTTTCTCTGTCACTACTGTCGTCAGCGTCTACAACCTCAACCTCTCCTTCGACCGGTCTCTTTCTAGGAAGCATATAGTGCAACAAACTGCTGAAAACGCCACAAAACCCCATCGATACGATCAGTATCATAAATATATTGGAGAAATCAAGATCGGAAGATCTCTCATAGAACAATAAAAAAACGATCGGTGCTAAAACTATAAACCCTAACCCTAACCTTGTCAATAAAAGCGTCATTTGTGAGAGATTCGAAAGCAGAGATGCCAAACAAGAAGATTAATCTAGAGAGATAAAGAGGGAGAGAGAAGGATTTGGGGAGAAGGTAAGGAACGTACCGGATTAGAGCTCTGGAGCGGAAAAGAAAGGAATCTGAGAAGGCGATCAGAGAGTAATTTTGCTTTTTTAAGCGTGCTTGGTTGTTTTCTGATATTCTTCTAGGGTAGAGTAGAATTGTTCATTTCATTTCTACTTTGTATGGTGAGAGGAGGATGAGTGAGGGGGGTATTTATGGATTTGCATTTTCTAGGGTTTTGGGCTGACAGATGCTATTTCTTGCCCCCGTTGAGAAGTCGGTTCAAACATTTCTCGTGTTTAGAGAGAGACAGAGAATGCGAAGAAAGAGATGACAAGTCAGCTCACGATAAACCGTCGATAATAAAAAGCAACAAGCAAGAAGGAATTGTTGTGATAGCGCAACTTTTTGTTACACACAAAGGTGACAATTGGTAAAATGAAATCTGACTTATTTAACAATAGTATTAATAACGCTAAATATTAATTTAACATTTTTATTAAATAAGTAAACGAATTAATTTATTTATTAATTTATTTATTAAAATAAAAAAATTAATATTTAATTAAAATAGAAAAAATTTATCATAATTAATTTAAATATTTAAAATAAGAAAAAAAATTATAACACTTAGACAAGTTCATAAATCATCAGTTGTGCTTATGAGTGTGTAAAATTGGAGTCGACTCATGCATGTGGACATTGGAGCTGTGTAAGATTACGTAATGTTATTTCATCATTATCTACTACGAGTAGTATATTCATTTGTAAAGCTATGATTTATTACTTCACTTTCTCCTTTGGAAACGTAAAATATATTTTTTCCTTTTTTAAGCAAAATATATATATTTAATTTTTAGTGTTTGGTAAAGGTTAGAGTATAAAATAACTTAATAAAAATTTATAGTTAAATTATTTTTCTTAAATTTTAATATTTTTTTAGTAAATATTTTACATCAACCAAAAACCAACAAAATAAAAAATATTTTACATAGAGCCTAAATAGTAAACTTCATATGTAATGTAATGAAATGAAAGAAAAGAAAAATGTGATGTTTTGTCAAAGTAAATGAGTTAATTTCAATGACCCTTGCTAAAGTTTGAATAAATATCACTTTGTTTTAATTTTATTTTTTCACCACTAACAAAAACATGTGAAAAGACAATTTTATCCCCAGCACAATCACATTTTTTCCTCATTCAGCACCATTAATCCAATCGTTTTTGTGATGAAACTAAAATTCATTATTCAAATCAACTTAATAAAACACATATAACTAAATTACATAAATCATGATTACAATTAATTATCATGCATTGAATCAAAACATGCTATTCAATTTTATCATGTTTAGATTTCTGAAATGTTTAATATAACGGAACTACTAAAAAAAAATTTTAAGTCTAAACGAGTACAGGTCCTTACATGATTCACATGATCTCCAGATCAGTAAAACAGTAAATTAGAAAAAGAAAAAAAAAAAACAGCAATTTTATCATTTTTTTTATTTAGGAAAAAAAAAAAACAGTAAATTAGGGTATTCTGTATCTCTGAGTTCAGTAATAACTAAACTTAAATCTTTCATCCCAGTTAGGAATCAGTCCATCCACAAAAAGACTTTCCCTTTCCACTCATGGCTGTCTCTGTCCCTCTTTCCATCATCTCTTGTACACTATGTTCTTCAACGTCTGGGTCTCTCAGTTTTATAATGGAACATTTTTTGTCATTATAAAATATAAATATTTTTGTACCTTTCATTTTTTTCTTTTTCTTGTGCTATTTATCACCAACTTTTATGACTTTGGGTCACCACCGCAACTGAGAAATACCCAACAACAGAATGGGAACACGGACACGTGGGGTGAGTGGAGGGTAATAAACTGAACAATGAAATATATTCTTTATACATGATATACCAATTTATCATCAGTGTATATAAAAAAATCACCCACCATCGATACCAGATAAATATATATATATACACACAACAATGCTTACCGCATGTCGTATAAGTATGAATGTCCTTCTGATACTAATATAAATTAATAAAAATATAACATGTGTCAAAAAAATTTTAAAATAATAAATAAAAATTATTTAGATCTTTTTACGGATCATCCAAAAGGAAATAATTTTTTTTTTCCCCTTTATACGTTTGAGATTTTCTATTGCAAACCCTTTATATTGCAATCAATTACAGAAAAGCTAAACAATTAGCCCAAACATGATAAATTAACCTCAATTGTAAGACTCCAATTATCAATGGAGTTTAAGGAAATCAATTTTGTTTCAAACTGCAATCAAAATTTTGTATACCACTAAAGTTATGCATAGATGGGGTTGCAACAGATACAGGTAACGAATGTGGCGGCTTGAATCATCTCTAAAGATTGGATGTAAAAAATTAGGTTTTGAGAATGAAGAAGGTGGCAAGCAGTGGAAGTGGTGGAAGTCAGTTGGCAGAGTAGAGGATTAATATTAGGATTTCAAAATTGGGGAGATGATGGGCATCAATGGGGATTTGGTGGGAAGAGAAAAGATTCATGTGTTAAAGAGAGGAAGAGCCTATTACCAGGTCTCATACATGCATGAGAGAAAATCCTCTACTTTTTTGGATAACTCATGAAAAAATCCGAATGATTCAGGTTTAATTTTTTTTTTTGACACATGTTATTAGTCCATATCAACATAATTCTATTCACGGTAAATCAGCAAATGAAAAGTCGCCACACGGGATTTTGTTCATTTATTTAATAAAACAAATAAAGTTTATTTATTTATTTAATAATTTCATGGATCCAATAGGGATTTATTTTTAGAGGGTGATGCTCAAAGTATTATCAGAGAGCCTATTGCATGTTTTGTGAGAGCTTAGTGGTGTAGAAAAGGTATTAAGGATCTGGTTCTCAAATTTAGAGTTAGGGCTGAAAATGGAACTCGGCTCATTCATTTCGGGTTAAAAACAAATTCAATTTTAAGCCTATTTCAGTAAATTTTTTCTAACCAAACCAATCTCTCTCTCTCTCTCTCTTCAAGTAATAATTATTTTTTCTTCGTGTACTATAATAATTATTTTTTCTTCGTGTAATTATTATCATTTAGCTTTCGAATACAAGACCCTAGTCGCGGCATTGATAGATTTGTAAGGGCAAACAATGCCATTATTGGTATACGAAGCTGAGTTGTCAATAATGTCTCAATGACTAAGCTATGTACTTTTGTACATTAACAAGCACTTCAATTGCTTTACAAATGTTAAATAATTTTAATTCCCTTATTTAAACCAGGGATTGGAATAGTAACTTTTAATGGGTAGGAATTCAATAATGAGTTTGTGTGGACCTTTGCCCCAAGTAGAATATTTGTGGTAATAAGCAAAAATATAAAATAAAATAATTTTCAATAACTTGACTAGAAAATCCACTATAGTCTATAGCAGACATTGGAAGTGAAATAAATTTTGATTTTAATATGCCTAGTAGAATTCAGCCTCGGGGCTCGCATGTATTGAAATCTTCTTTCAATTTAGAATTCCTATCATTAAATACAATTTACAATTCCTATCATTAAATTTCAGGATTGTATAGCAAACATTTGATAGATAATCCAGTTTTGGTTTTCAAATTGTGCACTGGCTCCTTTGCACCTTTTTGGAATTCAAAGTTTTTAAAAACGGGTCTATGCGGGTAGAAATCAATATTCTCCCCCTTGGTCATTATTTCATTTTGAATTCAAAATTTTGATATTAGTTGTTGAATACTTCATGGTTTAGAAAAATGTTAGTGATCTTTTTTTAGAGACAATTCAACATGGAGGTGCACTATGTTAGAACTTGATTATGCTGTTGGATCAATTATTTAATGGTTAAATTTTTTTAATTTTCCTTTTGCTGATCTAATTGTTGTATCACGAAACTAGAGGTTTGGTCTTGTTTTTAACACTCTTTGGTATTTAGAATCTGAAATTGATTTTTTTTATTATTATTATTTTTTTAATTATTGACAAGAAACTTGTGTTGTCGATTTCGTCTTATAGTTTCATTCTTATCATGTCACATTTGAATCTTGGAATGAGAGATAAATATAGTTGGTGGCTTTTCGCTTCGATGTCAGTGCAGGGTCTAGGTAAACGTAACGTTTGTACACTATTAATCTAAAAGCATGGTATCGGTTGTTCGCTCTGGCGAAGGATAGGGTTGGTCGCACCTCCAATGAGACCTTATTTTTGCATATCCAACTCCAAGTCCTAAATCCGTTGTGAAACCTTCAGAAGAGAGAGCAAGCCCGAAAGAAAGCTGTTGGGGTGAGTCAAAGGAGCGAATGAGCAAATGCAGTAAATTCAAATTTTCACATAGTCAATAATATGCTTACATCACCTTTTGCATTCATTAAAAACATATCTTTCCCACCAAAATACTCCGTATATATATATTTGTTTTACTGTCAACATTCACTTTTCACTTAAAGAAATAGAGGAGACAACTTTGGTGCGAACTGATGGAACATTTGTTATCATCCGAAGATGACAATTTTTTTTGTGTATATATATATATATATTTTTTGTTGTGTTTATTCAATTAGTGAGATTAAGTTTTCATGGCATTGGGTCACCACAACTGAAAAATGAACCCAACAACAGAATCGGAACAAAGAGATGTGGGGTGGGGGTAATAAATTGAACAAGGACATGTATACTTTATATATGATATACCTGCTCTTAAAAAGATAGCACTTGCCAATAGTCATCAATGCCGGTAAAACATTCATTTTACATGTATATGGCTTAACCAGATTGACTTGAGCCCCATTAGAGAGAATAGAGAGGGTGATGTATCTTTGTGGTGGTGGGAGATATCAAGAAGTTGCTTCGAAATTTTTGAACAAGTGTTGCAAATAAACCGAACTGAGTCAAATTTTAATTTTTTTAAGCGCTGAGTTGAAATTGCTGAATCGAAATTTAAGTCTGTTCGAGTTTGATTCGTTCATTCCCTGATGGTCAGATTATTTCAATTACTACTCAATGCTTTTTTTTGGGTATTGGTAGATTTACAAGGCTAGACAGTGATTTACTTACTGGAGTCTTACATGTAGGTACCATTATGAGGCTGAGTTCTCAATAATGACTGAAACCAACTAAAGCACGAAGAATGTACTTTTGTATATTAACAAGCATCCAACGCGCCATTCATCACTCGAACAGTAACTGAATTTGAGTAACAAAATCGGTGTCTTTTTTTCCCTCAAAACCCCAGAAAGTTTTAAACACGGTGTGAAAATACGTTGCTTTATCAATCAAAAACTAATTTTACTCTGAATTAATCTCATTAGTGCACGACGATTAAATTGTTTCAATTTGACAAAAATGGACAACAACATATTTCACTGTAGCAGCATGGCAATTCTTGTAATGAAAAAAATCCAAGTTCAATTCCCGGCGGTGGGATGAATATTTTTTTATTTTTCATTTTCGCTGAACATTTATGGAGACATGTAAAATTGTTAAATAAAATTAATTTAATTAGCTTAACAACAAAATTCACTGTAGCACATTGACCATTCTTGTGCTAAAAAGAATCAGAATATTTTTTTTAATTATTTTTCTTATTCTCTAGGGCCAATAGAAATCAGACACGTGGTTTCAAGCCCAATAAAAAAGGCAATGGGTCGGCAGTGGAACAATTTTTTTTTTTTAAATTCATTTTCTGTAGGCCCAATAGAAATCCACCATAATGTGCTTGTGTGGGCACAATGTCGAATATTTATGGTGACAAGTAAAACAATTTAAATAAAATTAATTTCATTAACCTAGCAAAAAAAATCCACTAGGCAATTCTTGTGATGAAAACAATCCGGGTTCAAATCCCGGCAGTGGAACTTCTTTTTTAATTTTTGGTGAATGCTAAATAAAATTAATTTTATTAACATGACAACAAAATCCACTTCGCAATTCTTGTGATAAAAAAGAGTCGGGTTCAATTCTCGGTTGCCCTAAATCGAATTAACGGACATTCCTCTTATGAATTCCCTAGGAACTTATATAGTAAATGGAATATACAGAGTTGTAATCAATCAAATATTGCAAAGCCGAATCTTGGTCTATACCGGCACCATAATATCAGGTTGGGGAGGAAGATCAGAATTAGAGATTGATCAAAAAGCAAGGATATGGGCTCGTGTGAGTAGGAAACAAAAAATATCTATTCTAGTTCTATCATCAGCTATGGGTTCGAATCTAAGAGAAATTTTAGAGAATTTTATGCATATATGTACATGGGATACACACCAAGTACTTCTCAACTGGTCACCCACACCAAACATCTTTATTTAACATCCATTGCAACTAACTAGGAAATTCACGTATTAACAAGCCTATTAGGTTATAAACAACTGTACAGGATTGAATGTAATACGAACCTGCTGGGCATTTTACACATAAGCTGCCATGTAAACCTGGCGAATCCACGATGCTATGACCGATCTCATTTGTGATAGTATTGAGTTTTTTGTTTCTTCGGTACAACAGACTGGAAGGATAGAGTTCTCTTTCTCCTTCGGATTGGTTTTAAAGGATAAGCTGCTGCAGGCACCGGGCACCTTGGTGCTTTTATAAGCTTTACAAATATAGCTTATAAAGTTTCTATAGTCCTGCAACAAGAGAAATCTATCAATATTTTTATTTTATTTTTTTAGTTTGAGAAAAAATCAATATGTATTGCACCAGAGAAATATAAATTTATGATTTATGCTGCTTAGCGTGAAAGGAACAAAATTGTGAATCAATGCACATTTTAAATCCTACTGAAAAGAGACTAACATCACCGAGCGGTTCTCCATCCACGGTTACCCAAGGAACAAACTTGTGCGGGGGTTTGAGATTGTCTGTTTCTTCTGCATATTGTAGTTCAAGCTGCATAAAAAGTATAAATTCAAGCAACTGGAGATCTCGTAGAGAAGAAAAGTTCATACTAGTAAATAGAAAACACGACATAAGGAAAGGAGATGGCAAAAGGTGAAATTCCTGATTGCACATTAAAGAACAAAAAAGTTCTAGTTAGATGGCACAAACAATGAAGTGCAATGAAAATGAGACAATGTTCTACGAACACATAACATAGTTAGGTTTACCATTTTTCGCACATGTTTCAAAAGTATCCAATCTTTTTCTGGTCATATGGATAATGGAATCACCCTCCTTTATTATCAAATCAAATTTTCTGGTCTTCACATTGCAAAGAGACACACACTCAAGAGACTGAAAATAACAGTTGACGTGAACAACTCTGCTTAGCCCACCCCAAATTCTTTTTTAATCTATGTTTTCACTATCAGTTGGTTGCACACAGTCGCAGGCATTGTTACTGTTATGTTAATCCTGGGAGACTTTATGCAAGCTGGACCAGTGAACATGGGACAAACAATATGAACTTATTTTCTGCAGGAAATTTGAAGTGATTCATGGAGTATATTTGAACACTGATAACTTAAGACGCTACAAAAACCGCTATATGATAACCCTTGATTCTTGAATGGAGGAAATCAGAATTAAGTTAACCCTATGCCTGTTTATTGTAACAAGGGTGTGATTTCATATATACTCAACAATAGTACAACGCAACTTGAATAAACAATATAAAAAGGTAATGCAAACAGAGAAAACTAACCTCTTTCCCACATCCGCTATTATAGCAATTGGTAATTGGTGTTTGATCTAAACCCAATTTCTCAAAACACGATTCCCACTGGGTGTAATTGCCCTCATAGACCAGAGTCTCAATACAATAGATAAAAGGAAAGTGCTCATTCTGCATCAGAGTTTCATGTCTTAAGTAGAAGCTTGAAAGGGAGTGGATAAACACATCATTTTCAACAATTATGAATTCCATAAAACATTGTGCAAAACTAACAACAGTGATCAGAATATTCTATATAGTTAAGAGGTTTTAAATTTTCTAAGCTGAACTGCTGAAGTATGATAAACAGCTTTATAAATGCAACAAATTTAACATACAAAAGAACATTTTATATATATATATATATAAAACAAAAAAAAAAAAACAGTGGTTTAAAGTCGACATTGCTACTACTCCCGTTGCTGATAATAAGAGATATCAAGTTTATCTGTATATGTTTCATGAATCATGCCATGAAAAGTTCAAAGCAGGTCTCACCAGGCCAGGCCAAACATGGATTGCACATGATTCAATAGTGTTCAGTAAGCATTCCCATGGGCCATGCTGCAACAATTCAATCCATTATAATAAAAAAAAAAAAGAATTGTTAATCGCCAATTGTCAAATTATATAACGCATATATAATCAATATAAAGCAACTTTAAATGTAAAAAAATACTAAAATTGAAGGTATGGTTGCAAATTATGCTTGTAAATTATAGTATAAAGCAATTCAGTCCATTTTACTTTCAATCTCTCATGCAATAGACAAGTATAGTAGTATACCAACAATAACTATTTTACTAAGCAATATTCATTCTCTATCTAAGGAAATGGGGTATCTTATACATATAGTTCAAATAATCTGATTGAAGTTTTCTTATATAGTTCCAAAAATAAAAAATAAATAAAAATAAAAATGAAAAACTCCGTCAATCAAGAGATACCTAGCTAACAAATCAATATATGATTTAAACTTCCGATTCCAAATTTGCACAGGTAAATAGTGAACTGTAAACAATATATTCACATGTGTATTGATTCAGTAGATAAAAACGAATTGAATATATATATTAATATATATATAGAACCTGGCAAGTGATTGTGTTGTTGGATCGAATCTTGGCGTTGCCATAGGGGACGAGCTTGAGATCGACTACGGAGATGAGTCCCGTGTCGAAGAGGCGGGTGAGATAGTTTACGATGAAATTGGAGCAGTAAGGGCAGAGAGTCTCGTAATAGAGAGCAAGCGTCACTTTCTCATTCTGATCGGAAGAGGGAACAGAGATTTTTCTGGAAGCTGAGCAAGAATTGGCGGTCAATATAGAGGTGACGAGCAAGAGGGAGAGATGACGAGAGAGAAGAGAAATGGACGATGCTCTTCGGCGACAATCCATAGGGAGGGATGATACCGGCGGATACGGCGGGTAGCAACTACCAGTCCACAGCAGACCACGGAATGGTTGTTCATTTTGGACCTAATCGTCAAACTAGAAGGTAAATGCACTTAAAATTCGCTGATTTTACAAAACGGCCCCAATCGGGCCCAAATGTTTCCAATCAAGCTCAAACACTTGGCAGTCCATGGCTTAGTAGACTACTTTGTTGCAATTTTTGGGGTCCTATGGTACTTCAAGATAACAGATGTCATCCATGACCACCGCATAAAGCTATTTTGTAGGGGACAGAGAGGACACAATTCAAATAATGATTTTCAAACTTTTATTAATAAATTTCATCCATTTCAAATTAAAAGTAATTGTCATTACACCAAGGATAAAGCGAGGAAAGTGTATCAAAAGATATTTATGTTCAACTTCTTAGGGTTGGAGTTAATTCGACATTAATAATATATTTAAGTTTTCGAATTGACTGTTTTAGATTTGAAATTTTTAAAAAATTAATTTAAAATTAAATTAAAAGCCCTTAATTAGTATTTCTACATGTAAATTACCTGTTTTATCTGATGTTAATAAAATGGATGATATTAATATGGAGACCGGAAAAAAAAGTCTTCTTCAGTTACTCTCTCACTTGATTCAGTGAGCATATAATAATGGTGATTAGCATCACCTCCCCAACATATTTTTGCCATCACCAAGTTAGCAAATGAATAAATAAATTTATTCAACTTCACCTTTTGAATGAATTTTTTTTTTTTTTTGCATCAGAAAATAAATCGTGATAAGTCTTCCTTTAACCCCCACTAGACCAATCCAGTGAGAAAGTAACCGGATTTTTTTTCACCAAATAGTCAAGGCCAATAAGAAAATCTAACCAAATTATTTTTAATAACCCATAAATGCATTACCAATTTAATACTTATATCTTAAGATAAAAGATGATTGGTTGCTCAGCCACTGTATTAGTATTATTTATTTGGGTAATTTACACAAACCTCCCCTATGGTTTACCATAATTATAGGGACCTCTTCTCCTATTTCGAAAATTATTCGGACCTCATTTAATTTTGAAAATATCCTACACAGACCTCCCTTATGTGTAACGGATCATTAAGTACACTAATGGACCTGTCAAAATTAATAAAATACCCTCATATTATTATCTTAAATTACTAAAATGCCGATAAACTATATATATATATATTCCTTTTCAATTCAATTCAATTATTTTCCCAAATTACGCCAGAGCTGGTAGTAGGGAAATTTCCAAATTCTCAAATTAATGTACTTTCCCAAATTACATCAAAACATGTTTCGTCAATCTGCTATCGCCGGCGAATTCAAGTGTGAGTACTGTACTCAATCGGCGGAAAACCCAAGCCCCCAACCACCGTCGTTGGCATCGACGATGCAATGGAGTATGAAGACGAAAAATAGAGCTTCAACTATTTGTTTGAATTTGATGTCTGCGAATGAGACGAGTGGATTTAGGAGTAAACCGCTTTGAGATCGTAATCTGAAGATGGGTCTTCGAAAATTAGAGAGCAATTATTGTCAAGTGAGGTGATAGTGGATGATGTTGAAAATTTATATATATATATAATAAAAATTATTTTATGGTCCTATGCATTACGTTTTCTAAAGTAGGATTGCAATGTAATTATTGATACTTGATAAATTAGGTTGTACTTTCCAATTTGGTGGTTTAATTCGGAGTATGGTTTTTATACCGTTGGATTGTGGTTTTTCAACTTATGTGGTGTGATTTAATTATAACCATTAATATCTAAGTTTCCATGATAGGAAGGGGACTTAGGTATGCTTACTTGTAAAAAAGTTGTCTCCCCCTATTGTTGTTATATATAAGGGTTTTAAAACCCTTATTCAGACATATCGTATCAACAACTCTCAGAAGGGGGTAAAACGCTCTATTTTTCAGATCTCTCAAAAGGCACTAAGGAATTCACAAAAGGTACCTAAAGTTTAATCTTCTAATTAGGTATGATATCAAAAATCTCTCTTTAATTTATAATTAATTTTGATTTTTACATGTGTTTTATTATTTAAACCCAACAATTGGTATCAGAGCCAAGTTAGGGTTTGTAGAAATCAAAATAGTAAAGATTGATCTATTATTGTAATACCCCTAATTTTCAAAAGGATAGTCTCAGTATTTTGTTTAATTGTTTTCTTTTCATTAATTGTTTAATTTAACGTTTTAATTGGTTTAAGTGTAATTAGTTATTTTCTTTTCATTAATTATTTTATTTAATGTTTTAATTGGTTTAATTGTAATTAGTTGTTTTCTTTTCATTAATTGTTTTATTTAATGTTTTAATTGGTTTAATTATGTTCTTTAATTCTTTGATTATTGTTTTATTTAGTTTTTGGTTAATTGGTAATTAAAATAAATTAAAGTTACTTGTTTTCCTAAATTCACGTTACTGTAGGATTGGTGGTAAGTAGCCAACATGCTTATTCACTTAGATGGTGTTATGGGCCGATTAGGTTTGACATTAGGGTTTCAATTAGCTTTAGGTTTTGTGTAACCTTATAAATAGATGTAATAAGGTTGTACTAGGGTTTAAAAAAAAAACAAACAAACAAAACCCAAAACACGTTTGTGGAAATAGAGAGGAGGAACAGAGGAAGTTTGCAGTAGGAATCGCCGGAGATCGTAGAAGACAACGTGGAGATTTTTAACAAAAATCTCAAAAGGCAAGTTCTATCCTTACTCTCTCCCTTAGGTTTCGTGTTTTTTGCATTCTTAAATAGTTCTAGGATTAACTAAATCAACTAAACACGTGCTCTGTTCGTGCTTACACTATAAACGATCTGTATGTCTTGTATGCTTACAATTCTGTTAAAACGTGATAGTTGCTTGCATATCTCTCTGTTTAAACATATGTATGTAATGTAATAAAGACTTAAACGGGACTGGGAATATGCTGAGATTGGGTTATAGCCTCTGGAAATTATGACAGTGAAGTAACAGAGGCGTAAAACGGAGACGGAGGGCGAAAAAACGAGACAGAGAGGGAGAGAGCCGACTCCCTTTTTATGTGGAGGCTGCTCCAAAAAGTGGAGCCGGCTCCAAGGTCTAAAGGAGGCGGCTCCACTTTTTGGAGACGTCTCCTTTGGTGCATTTTTATTTTTTTTTCTTTGTTCCAGTCAGTTTTGCATGCGATAGTTGTTTCTGAAGTTTCCAGTTGAGTTCAGAATTTAATATGAAAAGGTCTAATGGATGTATATGGTTAGATTAAGACTCTAGATGTGGTATTAATTAAGTCTAAGGGCTTAGAACAGTTTGGACCGTGAGGAATTAATCAGACAGTTTCACTATGTTTAGGAATTGGAAAGTTAGTAATGTTTAACTCTCTGAATTAGTAGTCTTCTGAGACGAACGATATAATTGTAACATGCTTAACTGTATATCATGATCATGTATCTGAATGATAACTGTTCTGAATGAGTTGGTGTGGAATAATACTAAGAATTAAACCAACTTGGAATAATATTAAGAATTAAACTAACTTAGTATTACTGGATTTTGGGGAAATACTATAGATTAAATATGTCTATATGCTTACAGTATTTCTGTTCTTGATGTTTTCATGATTTCAGTTGTGTCAATTATTGGAGTTATGAACTTAGTTGATAGTTACTTTGAGATCTGTAATATCAACTGCTGGCTGTTAAATGTTATTAAGATATAAACTTAATAGTACACCGGATTTTATGGAACTGTATGTACTGAGCATGTTTATGCATATACTTGTACTCTATTTATCGATGCTTACATTACTATTGTTGGTATCAAGTGTGGGATGTATGGATTTAGTTGATGTTTACTTTAATTGTTGATATTATCAACTATTGGATGATTGGATAGTATACACCGGTATGGGACGGTGGTATACTAAGGGTGGTTTGGATTCAAAATACCAAAACTTACCTACTCTGGATTAAGAATTGGATTAACTAAAAGTTAAGTCCTATTGATTGTAGTGTCATGGCAATAACTAGTTGAGCGGCACTACCAGGATTCGGGATGGACTTTAAATATATTGTTATGGTACCTTGATATGAGCTCGAGTCTGAGGATCGACGGTTAGGGAGCGTATATGCATTAGGATGCATAGCTAAATACGATGGTTAGAGGTGTACCCTGTTTAGGCTTAGGTACACATGCCCACTTCGTGTGCATTTAGGCATGTTAGCTCTATTCAGGTTGAGACCAGCCTGTAGTCCAGTGAGAGTCCTTTAGTGTGACTATATATATACCTACGGACTATTAGCTATTGTTGAATTGTTTAGGATGCACATACGTATCGGGCCTCTGTTTGGATTGTGAAAGTATAGAACTTGCACGTGGGCCTGACCCACTTCTATTTTTCAGGTACACGACAGTTCCAGGCTTAGACGTGTTCGTGCTGAGCAGAGGTCTCTATTCACTCTTCCGACGATGTAGGATTCTCTCCATAGTTTATTATTGGATGTTATTACAATTGTTTTATTTCAGTCTGGATGTTTATTAGGGGTCCACTAGAGATGGATTCCCGAGTTGTAAACTGATGGAGTTTGGGTTTGATGGATTTCAATAATTATATTATTTTTGTGACTTCTATTTTTAGTTCCTTTCAGCTTTAATTTCATTTCTTTATTCATTTTTGTATTCCGTGTTCATATTAATTATTAGATATTCCCTCGGGTTTGGGCCTGGGCCTGATCAACCCGTGTCTCGGATCCGAGGGGTATCATAATTATTATTCCGTGTTCATTATAAAATATTAATTCTTTATTCATTTTTGTGTGTTTGTACTAGCACATGCATATGTAATTGATTCATATTTTTGTGGGTGAGTAATTGATTATTCTATTTGAAAAATATTTTATACAACAAATTCATTGCACGCCGAAAGATATTTTTTTTAATATGAATTTGTTTTGCAATTAATTAGTTTGTCTTTTAATCAGTAGTGCATGCACGCCGAATGAAATTTTTTTTAGCATGAATTTGTTATGCAATTAATTAGTCTGTCTTTTAATCAGTTGTGCATGCACG